CTACAGCCCCTACAATTTTAAAACCCTACAAAACTTTCCTATGGTAGGGGATTTTTTAGGATATTCAAATTGTAGGGGCTTTTTTTAGGATTTTCAAATTTAATAGTGTCTTCAAGAGAATAAGTCATTACTAAGTTTTAGTCTTTTTAACATGGAGGAGAGCATAATGTACCTGCCATCAAGATCAATTGTGTCTCCCAGTGTTACATCACAAACTGGCTGCCAAGTACATTGCATGCTTATTTCTTGCAGAGACCTTGAGGATCTCCTTAAGAAGAGTAGCATAACATCAGCTCTCGAATCTGTAATATTCATCATTTTGTTCAGTACCTAATGCTACAGCAACCAATCATTGTGCATCATGCAGACTGATATATAGCTAATCATTATAACAAGTTGGGCAAATATTTTTTCATTTTTGTAAACTGAAATATATATATATATATATATATATATATATATGAAAAAAGAAGTGATTATCACCAAAGCTGACTGTTAAACATGCATCCAGCTAGAGTCTCTCAATTTTTGTAAATGTAACATAATTATGAAGGGTCCAATTAAAATGCAAGATAAGTACTTCAAATTTTCTCAGACTTCTTTCAAAGATGTATATTCCCTGACCTTGAGAAAATTTTTATATCCCTGGCTTTTCCCTGAACTTGCAGAAACCATGAATAATGCTCCTGGTGTAAAACTATCGGTGGAATTTGTTCCCACCGACCCCAAGTCTTCCCCCTCGTTATCCCCTGAATGTAGCACGCAAGAACACGTGAAACACCTTCTGAAGTCGCCGTCGAATAAAAACATAGGCATGCTATGCATGCAAGAGTTATTTTTTGGGGGGTGGGTGGATTACTTGAAACATTGTAAGTGATGTATACATTCTTACAAAAGGAAAGAAGAGTATTAACGCGGTAAAGAACGAAAATGTCGAATTAACTCACACACAGGTATTTTGTGGTAGATTGTGTGTGTTGTGCAAATAACTGTAACCAAAAATATACTGTATTGGTGCCACGAATACCTGTAAGTACAAAATGCAGAATGCAAACTGAGAATCTAAAGAGTTTTTTTCGTCTGGTATGTGATAACATGTTATCGTACAACTTACCGAGCGTTACGTAATCGCTTTCCGCGGTCAGCTTTCACGATTATTTGCACTACTTTGGAATATTCCTGGCCCATTTCTTGATGAAAATCGATCATAATATAATTTCATGCCTTCATACAGTCTTCTCATTTTGCGCACGAGTTGGTTGGTGTGATTTCTGTACAGATTTTACCAACGTAATAAAAGTAGATGTAGATGTAGATGTAGATGTAAACGAGATGTCATTGTTGAATATTTGACACGCACAACATTCGAGAAACCTTTCACAGTTCCCGGCGCCATATTGGATTAGTACCTGCGCAACGATAACGAGGCTAGGGTTGACCCGGCGGTTCTTTCATACAGCTGATCTGCTAACATTTCACGATCTAATGCACTTTTCAATGCGATTTCTCCCTTCAAAATAGTTCTTTAACACAACAATATGAAAATTTCGTCATTAGATGACATCCAGAAACTCGAAGCAAAAGATCTCAGGGAGATTCTAAAATCTAATTTAAAATCGACGGGCTGAATTAGAGCTGACTTAGCGTTGAAAGTTTATGCTTTGCTGATGCGACACGTCCTTCCATCGAGTAGTGGAGAAAACCGAGAACTTATTACAGATGTCCAGGACCAAGAACAAAAGCAGAGCGACTTCAGATACGAAGTAACTATGGTAAGGATTTTAGCTCTTGGATGGGCGAGTAATCTCCGTAATTTACCTGAGATGAATTTCAGTCAGCTTTATGATTACGCGTTGTTTCACGAGAATACGCCACATCGTGTTGAGAGGAACGCATTACAGGAAGTACCACAGAAGCTGTTCAGGATGGCTTAGAAAGCGACGCAACAGGTGGTGAGGTGAGACTGGTGTTATATGCAAAGGAAAAAAAATTTTCAAATAATGAAGCATAACATACCTTGTGCGCTATCGTTTTCCGATGTGAAGTCTACAGGTACTTTTCTGTTGTTCTGCTCTTATTTCTCATTATTCCTCCAGTTCCCAATCATCTCCATCTTCTCTTCCTTGGTTGGTTTTGCTAACCTGATATTTCTCTTCTGTGTCTTTCGTTTGGTGGAATAGAAACGTTTCTGGACCTCAATTTTTTTGTTGGCAGGTGCACTCCCTTTAGGTATAGCAGCTGAAATTGTACTTGTCGTATGCTGGTGCTGCTTGATCAAAGTGAACAAACTATAAGAGGAGTTGACACTTTTCTCTAACTGTTGCAACGCATCTTCATCTTCACAGACTTCAACGTCATTGATCCTTCTGAGCAATTTCGCCTTAAGGGATCGTTTCGTCCTCTCTAAGGTACTTTCCCCATTCTCGCCCCCAGCTCCTTTATTGAGACAGTCTCGTAGAAAGTTCATCTCGTTGGTGCTGTCGTAGTATGCAGTATCACTAGATGCCTCCTGGTAGTCAGGATCCATGGAACTATTATCTGGGCGTGGGAACTGACTAGGGTTGTCTTTGGGAACTGAGTTACCATTCAAATATCTGTTCACGAGATGTATGTGTTTGCAAATGGTGCTTGTAATCAAGCTGTCGAGGCAGTTGCAGACATAAAGATGAACACAGACGCAACACGCCTGGCATCTCAACCCACAATTTGTTTCCTTACAAGCACTTGCTATTCGGCAGATTTTATATGAACTTCTCCCGTCCTCTCCAAGAACCGTCCATGCATCATCTTTCTCGCAGTTAACAGACTCAACAGGTAAGGACAGGCTCCGTAAGTGACGATCGTGTATCATATTTACTCGATTTGTATATTTCCCCTTGGTTACTTTGATTAGGCGATAGAAGGTCTTGTCGCGAACATATTTTAATAAATTAAGTATGCAGTTATCTGAGCGTTTGTTGACTTTCCCTTTTAGATATCCGAATTTAAAAACTCTGTGGAAGGCTTCCACAAACATGTTCGTGTTGATTCCGAGACCAGTTCTAAAACAATATGCCCACTGATGCTTCCGATGGACCCAGTCACGCAAAAAATACTTATGGAACGCGGAGTCTTAGAGGAGAGACTCAACCGGTGGAGAAGGGCCCTTAGACAGTCCTCGAATAACGATTCGTTCATCTGCTCTAGGACTGTTCGGAACATTTTGTAGATCTCTGCTTCGGTAGATAAGTCACCAATTTTCTTTCTGAGCTCCATGTTTATGGCCCTATCCACGTGCCACGTGCATAACAGCTTCTGGGGCCGTGGGACATCATTCATAACACCCACCCACGCGTTGTAATACTGTGGGGCGATGTCACTCTTAAACCATTTGCTGGTGATAGAACCAGCGCAATTCTTTTTCACTTCACGAAAGAACGTACACATAGTTGTGAAATCTTCATGATTAGAAAGGCACCATGCAGTAGGAAATCCTTCACCATACTCATCTACCACGAGGCATGTAGTGAGAGGGAAGTCGTAAGCTTTGGTACCATGAGTACTGTCACAACAAATACCTTTGGTCCCAAATTTCTGAAGCATGTGCCTTTGAAAAGGACTCTGTATTATCAACACAAAGTCCTCCTGAAATAAGTCATACCCTTCTACCATTTCATCCTGAAACTTGCAGAAGAGTATGGGATTAGTATCTACTGATTGTTCCCATTCCGTAATCCAAGCCACTATCTTGATCATTGATGTGACGCTGAAAGTCTTTCAGCCCGAAAGTTCTTTCAATGTTCAACAGATCCTTTTTTTCCAAAAGGTGATGCCGAAAGAAGTTATTCACCGTTTCACTATCTCTGATGTCGTCAAGAATTTTCTCCCTTGGAACCCCCTGTTGGATTTTTGCCGCAAGCTCTTGCCTTTTTCCTTTTGGCAGCCACGTATGCTGGATGTCTCTTGTGTGGCCAGAGTGGGTATAGCAGATCTCCACTTTTACTTTGCCATCCGCTAGATTAGATACATTAAGTGTGGAAGCACAGTTCCTCTCTATCTTGCAGGTTCCTGTGAAAAGAAAAATGCAGAGTATTCCATCATTAAAACGAAATGAATTAAAATCGTTTCTGATCGATTGTTTATGCAAATTTAGTACAATGAAGTAACGATGCAACAATATTTTAAAAAAAAAACAGACAGATGACCGAAAGATATGCAGAAAGACAGATAAATATATATCTCCTATAGCATTTAATAAATTAAAATGATATTTATAATAAGTAATTTCGAGATTTCTCTTAGTTTGAAACAAAGATCTTGAGCTGACATGACTACAAAGTAGAGATTTCTTTCGTTGACCCGAACTAGTACCTTAAGACTTTCCTCTTTTCTTTCCAGTTCTGCGTGGCCTGTAACTCCCTCAACGGTCGCACTGGAAATAATCGACCCTAAGCCCACTGTTTTTTTGTTTCTTGGAACCTTTATTAGTAAATAAATAAGCAAATAAAAAGTTAACAAATAAGTGAATGAGTGAATGAATGAATGAACTAATTAATCAATTAATTAACTAACAATTACTGGTTGAAAGTGAGACACGTTAATTGCCTGCTGAGACTGCCCTTATTGCATTTTCTAGGGTTACCGCTTTCTTTAAGTAACGCATCTGTCACCTTGACAAAAGAGCAGCCTTCCTTCTCCTCAGTGTCCGCTTTCCACGTCTCAAATTCTAAAATAAAGATATATTATGTGTCATCTGGGACTCGTCTAATGGTCTGAAATAAGTAGATATGAAAGTTATAAGAGATGTTTATTTTTAAAAAAAGAGGCTGAGTAAACCTTACCCTTAGCATTTTGCATTTGCAAAATTTCTGTCTTGAATATCACGCCGTGTTCTGTAGACAAATGTTTTCTTAGGTCCTTAATCCTGAAACATCGATGGCCACACTCAAGACATAGACACTTCCCACTTTGGAACGCTCTCTTCCCGACAGCCCTAGTATGTTTTCGGTTGATGTGTCTCTTCATGTTTGATAGTTTAACACAAGAATATTCACACTCAGGACATTAATGAGACTTCCCGGTTCCTCGTTCACCTCTATGCTGCTCTCCACTACCTGGCCTATGCTTTGGGCTGTCATCACAGTTTCTCTTCTCATCACAAGTGACTCCATCGTCGTCAGTTGCTCTGTCACGATCGCCCTTGTTTTTTCCATCTTTCTCTCCAGCCACTCTCTTAACAGGAATATTACGGTATTTCTCTTGACTGGCCTTGTCATTTCTGTTTTACTTTTGTTGACTTTTTTGTAATGGTTATCATTGATCTTTTGTAACTGTTTGTTGTCCAGGATTTTATCCTCTGCTTCACTGCTGCTTTGAGTGCTCTCAGTTCTGCCTGCCCTTTCCGCTTTTCTTTGAATACAAAGTCCCTTCTCATTGTTCTCTGCGGTGTTGTCTCTCTCATCTATGTCTCCTTTTGATAATGGTACTCTAGGTGTTGTCTCTCTCATCTATGTCTCCTTTTGATGATGGTACTCTAGGAGTGTCCAAGTCCGAATCGGAGTCTGACTGGCTCTCGTGACTAAGTTCGGGGCGAAGAAAAGAAGATGGAACCACATGCTCAGGGTTAATTGATTTCTCACCGATCCATCCCATGATCACTCTACGCAAGTACTTTGCATAACGCGTTATGAAGACATTTGAAGGTGACACCGCCTGCGATTGACCTGAAGTAGTAATGTGAGAAAAAAATGATCGGGCTGTACAGGCGTACACAGCCATAATCAACACCACAACGCCGCAGATATCAGAAAATGTCTGAAGGGGGTATTGAGATGCACAGCTGAATCCACATTTGTGATCCCGTTCAGTGGAAACGTTACTTGAAGTGTGACACTCGAAAACAGAGTAGTAGGATAAACATTCTCCATAAATTTGCTCGATGAATTGCTCTAATCTAGGCAAGAGGTCGACTGGTACGCTCCAAGCCAGTGAGTCGCCATAGACTATTTTCTTTTTTTCCCGATCAACATGGCACATTGTCCAGTGATAACCACTCCGGGATCCGCTTGCAATGAATATATTCCCACTTGAATCCTTACCCACATTAAGGGCAAAGAACAAACTCGTTGGCTTTGACCGGCCATCTGGAAGAGAGCGAGCCACGAACGCCTCTACATCCAACGCGTGATTGATGTGAACACAAAGAGTTTTTTCTGTGAAATATTTAGATCGTCAAGCAACCAATGTACATGATCAGATGAGATCCACCGATCACTACAAAGATTCGCCATTTCATTTGGACCATCGACCTGACAAATTTGAAGAACCATCGACCTGGCTTATCAAATTTGCAAACCTCGAGTTTTCATCCCTCCATGACTCTAACGTATGCCTATCTGGGGAATATATTTAGTGTTAACAACTGGGTTGAAAAAACTCACCGTAAAGGGTAAAAAAGTGAAATTCGATTGTTGTTTTCTGTAGTGCTGCGTTGGTCAGGTGAACGTAAATTAGCCACCGTAAAGGGTCCCATTTCTGGGCCTTTTTAGGTGAGGAAAACGGCATTCAAAAGCTTGAAATCTGGTTAATTCACTCAGAGTTCCTGAGGTCAGGTCTTTGCTATTTTGCTTAGCCGAAAACATCTATAATTATAGAAAAAAATTACAACCCAAGTTATGCCTTGGCTTTACATTAATACTTCACAACGAAAACCAATCGAGTTACTCTGCACGCGAGAAACATGAAATTAGATGAAACTGATACCTTCTGCAATGGGACAAAGACGATAGTAATCCGAAAAGTCAAACAAGAAAGCCAAACATTCTCCGGCGTACAACTTCAACAGTATCCGGCACGACTTAAACATTTCAGCACGACTTTAACATTCCGGCGCGAATTTAACATTCCAGCGCGACTTTAACTTTCCAGCACGAATTTAACATTCCGGCACGACTTTTAATTTTCCGGAACGTCTTTCTCTGGTCTGTAAAAATTAAAGTTGAAGTCTTGCCAGCTAAAAACTGAGGTGGTGAAAATTAAAGTTGAGGTGGTGGAAAAATGTTGATGAGAAGTACGAGATGGCACTTATGTCAATCGTAACGTCACTCAACCCTGGAAAGGCACTGCGTGTGCACCTGCTGCAAAAGAGTAGTTGACTGAGTAGGAGGGCTGGACGGGAACTGATACCGACCGAGCGCAGCGAGGTCTGTGCGTCATGAATGAGAGCCAAATATTTTCCTGTCCGGCCCGACCTTAGTCAGTGAATACGAATTTATTATATGATTGTCACACTGTCTTTTTCTTTCTACTTTCGCATCTCGTAGGTCATCTCGCGGGGATTTTCTTTTAATTGTTTCGATAAAAGCGCCCGGGAGATCGTACTGGTCTTAGGATAAATCGACGTTATCACTGAAAAAGTGCATGGCCGGCTTTATTTAAAAGCATGGTAGAGTTCAACATAGGAAGAACGTAGTAAAAAACTAAAATCCAAAACGATTGGCAAAAAAAAAAAAGCTATTCCTGTCAGCGGTGAAATACAGGAATGGCTCCAGTCTTTGGTCGTCCGCCTGAACTGAATAATTAGTTTAGTCAATGAAACTAGTCAACGGATGACTTTATCGCCGGAATATCGCTGAACGACCTTGCTGAACAAGAAAGGCCTTCTCTTCGTTATGTAAGCAACCATTTCCTGTTTCACACATTGGTATTTTCACTCGCATTGATATTTCATCGTTCCTCTTCGAGACACACGGTCAAACAATACTCACGAGCAAGGAGTTAAGATATAACTTATTAACTTTTACTATTTTTATCATCCAATTACAGGTCGGAGCCATTCCTGTATTTAGTCGCTAGTACTGTAAAAAGGTCTAATAGCTTTGCACGTGGTTCGTAATATCATCTTTTTAGGCGGTGTGTTTATTTTGTTGACAAAAATGCGGACCGAGACCAAAACTGTTCGTTCGACTTGACATATTTTCGATGTTAGTAGATCACATCATATTAACTTACTTTCGTAAGTCATTCATTCCAGATAACAAAATTAAATAAACATGCTAATGATGGTATCTGAATTCGTCCTTGGCCAAACACAAACGACCTTACAAGATCACTTTCTCCAGGCATCGAAAACATACGCAAAATCGTCCATAGTTAATTGTAATCAGACATTCATCTAGAGACACACGCCGCCCAAGCTCCAGCTTTGAGATGATCACCCCACTATAACTTGGCACCCGTGATGCTAAGACAATTTCTTCATGCCAAGTTATAGTGGGCTCCCCGGCGAGGCTTAGTTTAAAAAGGAGGCAAGGTTACCTAGCTAGTTTTCAACGGTCGTGTGTCAAGGTTGATGTGGACGCGGGCTGTTAGAAACCTCTAAACTGGAAATTTACGAAGCAAACTGCGGCTTAGCGTCAGTTGCACGGGGAAGGTTGAATTTGTAGTGAATTGAAATGAAACTACAATATATGTGCTTAAATTCTGCGTTGGATTTGTGGCCGCCCGATCATTTTGCGGCGGAATTTTTCGCTTCTCAGGTCGGGCGTTCGGAAATGGAGTGTTCAGCCTTGGGCTTTTCTCATGTACGTTGAAAACCTCGAAATGGACAACTCGCTAAAATGCGTTCTTTTTATCAAAGTAAGCGGTCAGATAACAAGCAATACGCCGTGGAAGTAAGGGGAGGTGTTTTTTTAGACGTATTTTTTATTTTTTTTAGAGCGGTCGTAAATATTTTACAAACTCTTAAAATTCTGCCATGACCGTTATTGCAAGATGATCATCTCACAGCTGGAGCTTGGGCCGCCTGTGCTAGAGATAGGACCGAGCAAGCCAATCCAGAAAAATACAATCGGCACACTCAACAAATAAAGAATCTTGCAACACAGCTTGCCGTTGAAGAACTGCTCAAATCAATATGTTTGGTGCAATTCATCAACACCTCAAGCAAAATTTGATTCAAAATTTTTCCACTCACTTTCTTCGTGAAGGAACGATAACCATAATCCTGCTACTGTGCACAGAACTCCATTTTCTCTCGAACAACCGTCCACCATTTTCACAGCACGAGCAACACGTTTACCATAGGTAATCTGATATCTTTCATCTGTTCAGTAGTATCGCATTTCTCGTAAAGTGCGGTAAAATACACGTTAAAAACACAGAAAAGCCAATATTTCTCATTTTAAAAGATGATTCCATTTGACTAACCGCTCTCTCCGAATCCCCCATTACTTTGTTGAAATTTGAACACCTCTCAAACCAAAGAACAAAAATGACGCTCTGGTTGGTGCGAGATACATACCCTAACGCGGCGATCTGATTGGTGCGAGATACATACCCCAAACTATCTGATTGGTGCGAGCAACATACCACACTCTGTACGCTAGCATAGATGTTATTATTTATTATTATTATTATTATTATTATTATTATTATTATTAAAAAAAACTTAAAAAGTACAAAAATGTATCTTAGTCCTTCAGGAGACAGACAAAAACCCTGAATGACTGGATTTAAACCAATTACCACCGCATTGCCAGTTCCTTCGTCTCCACCGGACAAGGCATGTCTACTATTCACCTCTTTAGCAATATTGCAAGCTGCTCCGGTGTCTTTAGGGGGTGCTTCATGCCGAAGAAAATGCGGCAGAAAAAGACGCCTTAATCTTTTTGAACCACAGTTTCTTTGGCATTTGCCTTTTCTATCACTGGCTAAACTGAAGCAAAACAATCAAGTCAAAATGAGCGATCAAATCTACCGCTGCTACACAATACTTGTAAGAGCTGTGCTTTGTAATAAGTTCAAAATTATCTGCAGGACTCTACAGGCATGAAAAGTAGGTCAATGGAAAAATAGATTTCGTGATAATAATAATAATAATAATATAGCACTATCTCCGAGACGATGCAAATAATAGCTTTTGTCAGAAAAATGCCACCTGATTTTATACTTATCCCTAATCAGTGGCACAAAATATCCAGTTCTACTTGTACGTCTGTCAGATAAATTCCTGTTTCAAACAGCCCCAAACAAATTGTTTACACCCAAAAAGTAGGTTTCGCTGGATAAAATCCATGTATGGATGGCAGAAGTCATGTCCCAGATCAGCAATCAGACAGATTCTGGATATAACTTTTCGCTTTTATTAGTTTCGTTAGCACCTAGTTATATATAAGCGGGAGATAAGTGTCGACCTGAGCTTGTCCCTCTTAAAGGCTGGTTAATTATTTACGACGGAGGTGTAGTCAAAGTCGTGATCAGAAGTGCGCGCAGGGTCTCAAAATGGCGGCCAAACTTGAAGATTGGCGAATGTTTAGGCAAGTTCATAGAGTTATAAAAATTTTAATGAAGGTGGGCTGCAAAATGTTTTTCGATTGTTAGACTCTTCATGACACCCTAGCTATTATACTAACTATATTAGTTTGACTAGATTACAGCGTCTGACTTTTTCAAAAACTCAAGTTTGAATTTGGTGGGTTTTGGCGCGTTTGACTCTGGTGAGCCAATAAAGAGTTTTTTAAGCCTTTCCACTAAATCGTTTGAAACTCAGTGTCTCTAAAGTAAGGTTAATGGATAAGATAACAGTGAAATACTCCTTAGTAGTATTTTTTTGAACTAAGTTTCATAGGTTTTTTCGAAATTGTCTTTAAAAGTTATGTCAAATCAAGGTCTTGAAAACTGGCACGACTAGCGTTCGCCCGAGTAAACTTTAACTTCTGGAAAACTCGAGAAATTACAGAGATCCGATCAGGCAGACTGCGGTTTTGGTGTAAGGGCATGAAATTTAAGTCTTGCAACACACAAGAAAAAGGCGAAATCTGTGTCTCAAGCCAAACTTATCAGATCGCTCTACTAGAACGAAGACTCTTTTAAGTGTCATGACGTTTAGTAAGTCTAATAATTTTTTCGTTTTGCTTTGTATTTTCGTTGGTGTTGTTCGACCATCTTTAGCATTGCAATTATCAAAATTGTCATTATCTTCTTTCCTGATAGGTACAAATAACATGCATTCACCCATGACATATTTGACATGTTTACCACGTATTTCCTGCATCATAACATACTTACACGTGTGATTTGCGCTGACAATGGAATAATTACTGGCCTGGAATCCACATCTTTCCAAACAAGTATACACTACGAAATTTAGGAGACACACTTACAATACTTACCGCCAACTGACATCCCTCAAGAAGCAGCTTTGTGAGAAGTTCCTTAGCTCGTTACGTGAGTTATTTTTGTGGAAAATATATCTCTTTCACGAAAATAACTCTCATAACGAGAATTCATGCTAGTCACATACTCACAACGATTACTCATTGTAAACCGACAAGTGATTGTCTCGTCACAGTTTTCGTATTTAACAAATGCTTCGAAATCTCGCGCCTTTTTTTCGCGCAAAGATGACGAATCTTCGCCTGAATCTTGTCTACTCCGCTTTTCAAGTCTCAATTCCACTTTTCATCAAGTTTTTTCTCGTCTCTTTTAAATTGTTTACCTTTTAAGCTTTCCTTTTCTTTCCTCATTTGTTTTATTTGACCCAGGTGCTCCCTATTTACTCTTTTCTTATCTTTTGATTTCCAAGGCTTTCTTTTCTTTTCCTTTCTTATCCTCAACTTTTTTTTTTAGCGACAAGGTTCCTTTCCTTTCCTTTGATGACAAAGTCTTCGCTGGATGATTTCTTGGTTCTCGTCAGCCGAGTGCCTGGAACAGCTTATCAATGCTTGCATAAAAAATTCGGGCTGCGCGCTTTTGTAGCTTCTGAAGTTTTTCACAAAGGCCGATATCGCAGTTTCTTCAAACAACGCAGCAATAAGCAAAATGTGGCTGGATTACGCTGTTACAAAAATAAATTGGAACATTATAGGGGACAAGATACCTTATTCTTTTAATATATTCTTTTCACAAACACTCTGTTTATGACAATCCCAGTTTGGGTTTTGATCATTCAGGGAACCCGCATCACAGGATGGATTTATAGTGCAATATGGAATTTCAGAAATATTTGATTGAAAAAGTTGATTGTGTGGTGAAGTTATTTGTCCAAGAGGTACATTTAGACCCACAGAGTAATTCAGTATTCTCAACTGGGTCATGATAACATAAATTGGCCACCGTAAAGAGTTTCAAAGCTGATGTTTCGAGCATTAGCTCTTCGTCAGAGTGAATGATTTAGCCTCACATTTCGTTTCCCGATTAGTGCGTTATGTCCAGCTCTCTAGCTTTGGACGTGTATACCTTTACCAGATTAATAAAGAATATTTAGTCTGTTTGCAATGAACAAAAGGAACAAGGTAGTTACTGTTTGGGTTTGTCTCTTGCTCTTGGTTTGGACCAAACACATAGTTCCTGTTTGTGTTTTTTGCTTTCAATAATCGGCTTTTAATAGCGTAGAATATCAATTATTTTGTTTTTTATTCCTACAAACCTTCTGCAATTATTTGGGTTAGTAGTTCTACAGAGAGCTTTAATTTAATCCTCCAAGATCGACAGGCATATAACCCAAGCATGTTCACTAATAAAGTATTTAGGGATGTCTATAAGACTTGATTTAGTTTGTCGAACAGTTGAGGAGTTCGCTGAATAAAGAAAAAAAAATCCAGAAAAGGCCTCGATTTCCTTTACTTGAGCGAGTTTTCTAGAGCCAAATACCCTCAAAGTATAGTTGCCTAAAAAAGTTCATTGAAAGAGTTGATTGCAAGAGAATGGTAACGTTATGGCAACGACAACGCGGGTTGCGCTGTCCGGCTGAATCTGGTTCACCACTGGTCTACTTAAGATGATAGAAAGCATGTTTACTACAATCTCCAGAAAAACATCGCCTCCACCCCTCCCCACTCCCATAGCAAACACAATGCACTCGAGCTTAGCTCTCATTTGCGCTCTCAAATCCTCGAGCGCGACCCATTCCCCTCGACTCAACCCCCCAAATAACCAAACAAACAAACAAAAACAAAACCATATGAGGAGCTAATCAAAAAGAAATCATTAATAGTCAAAAACGAAAGCAAATCGAAATGACAACGACAACGACAAAATAATTATGTTCCTTATCACAAATTCAAGGGAAGTCCTGTAGAAAGTAAGTTATGTCTTCGGTATTCAGTAACAGCAGTTAAAGAAGTTAATCACATCAACTTATCTTCCTTTGGATTCCACGTCGAAAGAAAAACAGTGATCTTTGTTTACGATAACCATGAATTAAAAAATATTAACTCCTGAACTGATCGGATAACACAAAACCCTTGTCATATGTGAGGTTAGACAAAAAAAAACGAGAATTCAAGGAACGATCTGCAAGGTTATCGAAAAAACTTTCGTCTCCGCAAAATTGTTAGGAAGTGGAAGAATAAACTACAAGAAATCTTGTTTATTACATAGATGACTGTTGTTTCCCAAGAAAATAGTTCAGCTCTTTAGTCCTCGATATTACACGCGAAACTATTTTTGCTCTCAGCGGGTGAATCGCCGCAGTGTGTCTAAGTTGAACCTTCGGATTAAACAATTTTTCCTTCTAAAATTATTTTCGCGGACAACTCTTGAAACATCGAAAAATTGAAACTAGTCAATAATACCTGTCTTTTGATGCTGTCTTATATCATTAAAATATATATGGACTTTTCGGCGCCTGCTTCCTAATGGAATTATTTCAACTAATGCAAATGTGAAAAGTTTAGATGTAAAAATCCGTCAGATGTCACGGGGAGAAAAATTAAAATTGCTTTGCCTTCTTTTCCTTTGTTAGACATAATAAGTTGACTAAATACATATCGAGCTTAAGAGCTCTTCAATATATCTGCGTGTCAATATGCAATAATCTGAAAATTATATGTTACATGGGATTGTTTATTTTGGTGTTCGTCCCGTTATTTGTTTTATAACCCGCTAATATGTCCAACCGCCGCTGTTTTTATTAAAACAACAACGCGCAAGATGCAGAATATGCGTTTGAAAAAAATATAGTTGAATTTAAAAATATAAAGAAAAGGAATTTTATTCAAATTCCAACCTCTTTTTTTCTGAACATTCTCAGAGATCATTTTCATATCAATTTTCTTTCCATTAAAAGTCTTCTTTCAGTATATGGGACTCAACAGCTGCTTTAGAGCTGGATAAAACAGTGGAAACTTGCACCGCTGGAGAATTGATATGATATATACTTTAAGGAAAGGAAAACACTTTTAGAGACAATAGAATTTCCGTCTCAGATAACCAACCGGCTGGTGCTAAAAATGGCGGCGGTGAATAAAGCGATTTCTGAACGTCGTTTCAAACAAGTTCGCTTTTTGATCGATCTGGGAGCAAATTTGAATTTGAAAGACAGAGAAGGAAAAACTGCTTTAATTCAACTATGCTTTCTTGAGCCAGAGTCCTTAGCTGTGGCGATCGCTGTGCGTTTGTTAAAAGCAGGAGCAAAAATTGATATAAAGGATAACGAAGGGTTATCAGCATTTTGCACCGCAGTGAAAAGACAGAAAGAAAGTTTGGTTGCATTATTTTTGGAGGAGACCGGAAATTTTGATATCAATTCCAGAGACAAGAAAGGAAACACCGCGCTATTTTATGCAGCAGACGTTGGAAATTTGAAGATCTTGAGTGCGATTGTTTTAGCCCTTCAGAAGTTTCAACTAAGTGTGAACGTGGCAAATACTGAAGGAATTACACCACTAATGCAAGCGTGTATGAACGGAGATGTCATCGTAGCAAAGTATCTCATAACAGAGGGTAAAGCCTGTATAAATAGCAGAGACTGGAATTATAAAAGAACAGCCCTGGATTGGGCCAAAACGAGGGGAATACAGGAAAGTATTTTACTGGTAAATAACAATTCCGACTTTGATGGTCTGGGTAAGAGTACCATACGTGGAACACTCGTAGAAGATAACGTCCAACAGAAACCAGGTCAAATTTTTGGCTCGAAACCTTGTGAAAAAGATCTTGGTCGCACAAAGGGGCAAACAACGTACAAAGATCAACTTCGACAAGTATATCAAGTTTACGAATGGCAACTAACAGCTTCCTTCAAACTCCGGAAAAAACCGAAGTCAATCGATATCATAGCATCGAACTCAACCGAAGAACAGAGAAACGGTAATACAAGAACGAGAAAGAACACTGATTTATCAAAGGGTCGGAATTTTCTCAGAGGAGGTGCCACTGCAAAACTTCTAAAGCGCAGTTCTTTAATGGCTGACAAGAACGTTCCTCATCCATTTCCGTTTCCGAATTTCCAACGTTCCCTATCTTTCACGGATCTTACGAAACTTGATAAGGCGGAAAGGCGAATTGATTCGCCAACTCTTCCGAGGATTCGTTCGGCTCATTCGAAGCGTTCGGGAAAAGTTCGGCAAGAATCTCCAGAAGTAGAAACCCGCTCGTCATCACCAACGATTGCTACTGTATTTGAAGAAAATGAACCTGACTCTTAAACTAGCACCGGTCTCGTATTGCAATAAATGCAAAAAAATATTAATTTACCTCAACTGGTATTCCCCTATTTCAAAATCAAATCTTTAAGGTTGACTAATGTTAATGAAGCGTTTTGTTGTCGTTGCGAAAGGGAAGACACACCCGTTTCTTCATTACGTCGTTCTGAAAGGCCAAAACAATAATTTGCGGCGGTGTTTGTGAAGCTTTTAAAGAAGGTCAAACACAATAGTGCTGCCGTCTGGCACTAAAACATTCTTTTAATGTTTCCTTCGACATTATCTGTTCTTTGCTAGTCAGAAAACTGTTCGCTAACAGGACGATTACCCGAGATTATAGTCTATACATTCACTCCGAACAAGGTGTTTACACTTTTGAATATCCAACCAATTGAAATGTTTTTGAGGATGTTAAAAGTAAATAGCATTCCTCTGATAATCATTTGAGACCTGACCAGATCAATGTGTTCTGTTCTTGGGACAGGGCATTTCACTCTCACAATGTCTCTTTCCACCCAGGAGTACAAATGAGTACCAGTGAATTGTCAGGAAGCTTGATGAAATGCTAGGGGTAACCTTGCAATGGACTGGCATCCCATCTGGGGGAAGATGTAATACCCCTAGTCGCTTTATGCTGAGAAACCAGGATAAGCTCAGGCAGGGTGGGCCACCAGGGTCAAGTACAGACTTTAAGATTTGCAAGTCACACTGACAGTTCACTCCCAGTCTCGGGTGAGTTTGATCTTAGTCTTTGGAAGTGAACTTTCTTAGCACCATTATTTAACCCTTTAACCCCTTGGTGATAAGCATCCAATTTCTCCCAAAAGTATCACCCTTGAATCAAAAATAAGATCATGAGAATAAAGGCAATTATTGTGAGGTCAAAAAGCTTTTGATTATTAAGCAAATTCCCCTTGTAAGTTCCACAAGAAATTTATGGAGAGGTCTAGAGTGTGCATACTGCTGTTAAGGTGTAAAAGTTGATGTTGGATTCAACTTTTGGTTTGTAACACCATAACTGAAGATAGTGGACAAGCAAACACAGGCCATGCAGAAAATGAGGGCAGTATGGGCCAATGAAAACTTACATGTTAATCAGGATTACTTTTGATCAACTTCATACAATGCAGCCCCAAGGTAAATGATTTTGAAGATCAAATAGTGTTCAATGTCCTTTCATTTTATCCTTAAATCACAACTTCAGAAATACTTCTCAACAAATAGGAGTACAAAAACACTGTAGTTGCCAAACTCAGACAACCTGCTGTTCATAACTACCAACATCTTGGTGCAAGCTTATTATTAATTTTCCTGACCATTACCTGACACCTTGATGCAAGCAGCATTTCTGTATTCTTATCGACAATATCAACTTTGCCAATCAGATTGCAACATTACTGCCAATTGTTGTAAAAAACATTTTGATACACTGAACACAGTACCTAGATTTGTCAAAATCACTACAAGAAAACTCACAGTTTGAATATATTTAGCTCAACAATAAAAAAGTTTGGAAATAGGTTTTTGGCCTAAGTGGTTTGAGATTAAACGTAACATAATAAGATATGGTTTTCACCAAGTAATTGTCTGCACCCTAACGTTTGTTCATTCTGTCCATTTTAATTTCTCAAGTTTAAATATTTGGCTTTTCTTCCCTTTAAATTCATTAACTCAAAGTGTTTACAGATAGTCAAGGCTTCAAGAGTGTCTGTAAACCCCATAAAAATGTTCCTGTCTGTAAACCCCATAAAAATGTTCCTGTCTGTAACAAAAATTAGGCTAATTTTTGTCTTTCAGACATGATTGAACAGGTTAATTTTAGACTTGCTACCTTCTGTAAGCAACATCTATCAAATCCAGAAGTGATCAACATGCAACTTCTCCCTATAATATTCATACATTATGCACCAAATGGGTACTGAGAATATTCAAATTTTATCAGGTTAAAGTTGTTGTTTAGATCCAACACCAAATTTCCAAATAACTAATTTACAAGGAAATGTGCCTACAACAGATTGAGGGGAAAATTAACTAGCAGATCTTGGGAGACAAAAGGCATAGGTGATTAACTGCAACATCCTAGGTTGTTAGTGCAGCTCTTTCAATGGAAATTTACCAAAAGAAGAAATAAAATCAAATTAAACTTAGTAAGAGAAGCTGCAAAGATGCTCTTTAAACAACAATTGATTCTCTGGCTACTACATTTGATTGCTAACAATTTAAGTGTAGTGCATGGAATGGGAACGTTAGACCTAGGCATTGTAGACAGCATTCTTCTTGCCAGATGTAAATTATTTAATCCCCTTTGGGAGGACTTTGAAGATATTTTTAGATTTAGTTTTCATATTTAGCTTAATAAAAGAAAATGTAGGCAAAATGCATAAATACTTAAATCAATTGGACAAACTTGATTCCCTAATGAATAAATTGCTAATAATTGTAAGATGCTGCGAAATGCATTCACAAACTACAGTTTTTGCTCTAACAGTCCAAAGGGACAATATAATTTGAATTCAAGAACCCCCTTGAACCTGACAGTCAACAATTGTTCTCATGTAAAAATGACAACATTTTCTCCATGAGCTTTTTTTGTCCGAAGACAATGAATAAACCTTTCAAATTTAATACAATAGACAGGTAAACAGATTTGGAAAAAACAAGGTGAATTCCTAGAATATGCCTGCATAGATATGTTCCTGAACTCAAAATTGGCACAATTAGCCAACAGAGAAGTAATTTATTTTCTGGAGTTGTGAGCTGAAGTGTTATAATTCACTGCATATCTTGACACTTGCCTACGAGTAGAAGACTAATTCAAGTTTCCTCCTTGAAGAAATTGTCTGGTGTCCAACTAAGATATTTTTTTGTCTCATTCGCAGAGGGGGAGGGCAGGCATAGACCATATGGAGTTTTATAACTTTATAATTACAATCAGAAAGATTTTCTTGAACAGACTCAAAACACAGTCAGCAGTGCAAAAATTCCATACACTAGGGCACAAGGATATGCCACCAAAGGCTGTTGAGAATCCATTGCAAGTGCTGTTACAAATAGTTTTGATGATGACAAGCTACACCAACCAATTACAACTGCTGTGAGAATTGATCCAAGATATCCTTGAAGTGACATAACCAGTGACACACCAGACAATCCCACCATGGGCAACAGACAGTAACCAAGGACACTTATAACACATCCGACGGACACTCCAGTGAGACTCATCAAATTAAGAACAATATACATGGCCCCACATCCCAGCGCACTAAAACCGTAGATATAACCAAACTGAACTTTACCATGGAGTAGCAGGAAACCTCCAAATGCCAGACAAAACAGTAGAGGTCCTGTAAGATCCGTGTCATCCATAATATGCGAATCAGTCGTTTTAAACGGATTCAAAACTGAAAGTGTCTTCTGCCAAATATGTTCGAAGTTGATCCCTAACTCTTCGAGTAATGGCGGTTCATCGCCAAAATCTGTGCCATGGGCTTCATCGACTTGCGTAATTCCTTGATTCATGTTCCCCGTGTAAGGCGATTGAAACTGATTGCTTCCATTGTAATAGTTGTTGTAAAATCCACCGTTCGAATTCCCTCCGCCATTTTGAGGGCCATAATTTTCAAACGGCACTGACGCGTTTTGATCGTAATTCGTCGCATAGAAACCATCCTGATAGAATGAATTATTACCTTGGTAGTAAGGATTCTCGTAACTGGACATAGTTCTTTTAAATAACCGCTGTGATCATAGATATTCGTCACCCTTTCTCAACTTTCGGAAGGACACGTTTCAACTTGCAGGTCCACAGAGCGCATGAGCGTTTAAAATTACCTCAAACACATTGCAGGCGTTCAATTGTAAATGGGCAGGCCTGGGGTGGGGTGGTGGCTATTTCTTTGTATCTACGGCCTCCATAAACTTGGATAAGTGCACTGAAAGCGGAATACGTACGTAATTGTAACTCCTTAGGTTTTCGTATCAGGTTCGATGCGAGTTCAGTGCGACGTCGGCGGCGTTGCGTGACATACCAAAGAACAGATATGCGAAGCCTTAAGCCTACACCGGTGAGGAATTTCCAGCAGTATGCAGGACGCGTGTCATATGAACTTCGTATTGGGCCTTGCTCACCATAAACACTATGTGGCTCAGTGTTAGAATGATTCAATTCCTCATGGGGAGACTAATTTCCGTTTGTCCCACGCGCTCGTGACATGACGAAAAATATCTTCCTCTAGGTGACGTACTGTTCATATTAGAGGCGTGGTTTAGGGAGGGTCTCAATGGGGTTAACCGATAGTCGTAAAACGGCCCAAGAATTTAGCCGTTAACCGAAAAAATTGACAAATTTTAACCGTTAATAGTAAAAAAGTTAATCGTAACAAAAATTCTGGTGACAACAGTGGAATGATATTACCTGTTACCCAGAAAATAGCCATAATTTTAACCGTTAGCCGTAAAAGCCATCATCCATTAAGGTCCTCTTTAGAGTACTATTTAGTTCGTTTCCAAAGAGCAGTTCACCTTTAGCGGAGGATTGCTTGTAAATTAGCTCACTATAATGGCATAAGTGTTTCAATGGAGTCAACACTACCCATCATGAAGGACTACAAAGACTACTTGAGCTCAGTGATCGTGATAATTTTATTATCTAACAAGCTGTTTCAATGCTTCGCAGACTGCATTTATCTTTGATTTTATCAATATGGAAATAGAAACAATATTTTTTCTTGATTGAGGTAATTTTTTTCCGAAAGCGATTTTCTAGTTTTACACAAAGTTGAACCCTTGATTGTTTCAGATTTCCCAAAGGGAAAATAAATAATTGATCGATGCAAACGCAAAAGAGCGCGTTTTCACCTTCCTATCCGACTACATCGATCGAGTGTCAGCTAAACACGCTTAAGTGGCCAAGCGCAGTCGCAACCCGCGGCCTCTCTGTAAGCGCAGTATCTTTGAAAGGTGGTCCATGTCAGATTGTACACCATTCATGTCTTCACTCCGTATTTTAACTGGACGTGTTTTTAACGCTATGAACCAGAGGAGCCAAGAGAGAGAAATTTGTTTTTAAGTTCTAGGGCTTTATCCCGGATGTTAGGTTCCTTGTCACTGTAAACGTATTTCAGACTGTCTAATATAAGTTCCTTTAGTTCTTCCGTCAGCAGTGATAAGCGGATGTGTCCTGAAAAAATTAATGTAAGAAACAAGTTATTGATGATTTTCTAGAGAAAAAAAGACTGGTATGCTGCGCCAGCGGGAAAGTGAGAGACTTTCCTGATTACAGAATAACACGTTGCCCAAGGCAATTAAATCACAGAAGTGCATTTGAAAAGTGGTCATCTCGAGTACTAGCCCACCCTATGAAAAGAGGGCAGGAGATAATTTTGTTTGACTTAATTCCCTAAGGCGGCGGCACAAACCCCACGGGGGGGGGTGAGGGGGTAGGAGGACAATGTGACAGCCCTTATGCACCTGTTGGCGCAACGAGCAATGATGATGATGATGATGATGATGATGAAATTCATTGAAATGACTCTTCTCGACTGGATGCTTAGACTAAATCAGTTAACCTTGTAGAGCTGAGTGCATAGTCTCTAGAACTTCAACTGATCCCAACCGCACCGCAGCATACTTCTTAACCTCTGTGAAAAAAATAAAGCAGCAAAACACATTCAAATATGTACATAAAAGGGAGGGATTGAAACGCGCTATTCAATTGACTTATGTTTAGGTGTTTTAAGATCCTTGAAAACTAACGTAAGTTCAAAAGCTTGTAGCACTGTTGATTTGTCGAGTTGAAACAGTTTCTAACTTTCTGAAACAACATCTGTCATAGTCGAGTTATTTGCTGCAGAAAATTCAGAGCTGGGCAATTTCAATGCGCTCCCACACCGCCCAGAAGAATATGACAAACTACAAGTTACCTTGAGGGACAAACGTCGAAGACGGGAACATTCCAACCTAAAGGGAGCTATTTTCCTACATTTGGCTAGTTTTTAAGCGTCAGGATATTACTTCCACACCAAATAAAACCTTGAAATAATTATTTGCACGAGCACACAAGCACCAAGAGGTGAGAAAAACCTAAGATTATGGAAAGGAAAAGATCAAAAGGGTTTACAGACTACGATCTTGGGAAAAAAGGTTCTTTGTCACTCCATATCCCAAAAGACTAGGTGAACCATTTTAAAATACTAGAGCCATATACGTATGACACTCATCTAAAACAAATTGTAACATCATTAAAATCAAGCAAACCTAAACATTCGCAAACTGGTGGAACAAATTGTCCGAGGGTGTTTCTTAACATAGTTATTCTCTCGATACTCTCTTCTCCCGAGCCATCGGGTGTTCCATTGACCCAATTCATCCTGGAAAATAAAGAATAATGAAAAAAAAAATAGCAAAATAAAAAAGTTGAAAACTACCGTTTCCACAACTATAAATAGAAAGAAGAAAAGGGGTCCGTTTCTCCGGGTTCAAAAAGTTTATTTTTATTTGCAGTTTTTCTTCCAAGATCAAGAGATTGACACTTTTAAAATTGTAAAATTATCGAGATCAAGAAACGAAACAGAATGGACTTGTTTTGGAGAATTAGATTTGAACTATTACTTCGGGCGCGTAAAATTAGCGGGCCTTGGCTACCGAGCCAAAAAAAAGCAAAACGAGGAAGAGGGAAACCAACTTTAAGGAGTAAAACGGAACGGAATGTAACGAAAAAAAAAACAGAAGAGTAAAATGTGATGTATTAGCAAACACGTCCAAAACGTGAGGAAGAAAAAGAAAATGGACAAGAATATATAAATACCAAAAATAAAATCAACAGCTACAACTTCATGATTTTAGAAACATGAAGATCTCTGTTAGGCAGGTGAATTCGAGAAGTTTTTGACAAAGATCCTAAAATGACTTATTTAAACTTACTTCGGTTTAACTGCAAGGTTTGTTCACGTATGATCAGTTATAATCAATTTCGCGGTTTGCAGTTTCATTTGTAGGTGGATCAACAAACATCCACAAGCATGTCAAGGCGCTCCGTACAGTTTTTTAAAAGTGGAATTATCCGACGACAAAAAAAACCGTTGGCGTCAATTTACTCATGTCAAAACCAACTGCATAGCGGAGTGAAGCTGCTTTACCGTAAAATCAGCAGCAGCCAAACAAACGAAACAATTTCCACCAACCTTTCTATAAATAATTTAATGGCTGCTAAAACCACGACTTGAACTTTCCAAGTGTTTGAAGTAAGGGCTGCAGAAAGTATGGAACAAAAACGCTCTCCGTGTTTGTCTGTTAAATGAAGATGAAGGAGAAAAATGGTTCAACTGTGGTAATTTCTCGTTACTCTATAGGGAATATAAGCGGTCACATTGGCTGGTCAAAAACACCAAGCAATGTTAGCTGGCAGCTAATATTACGACAACTACGATTTTGTTACGATGCGTAAGCTAAAGTGGGAAAAGAAACCTGACCTTGGGAGTCGGTGGAATTCTTTGGCCACGCCTGTCCCAGACACTCAAAAGAACAAACCAAGAACTCTTGATCCACTTTCTTGTCCTTCTCTTCCTCGTCTCCATTTTCTTCCTCGCCTTCTTCCTCCTCCTTTGGCTCCTGTACGTTGGACAAGCAAAACATCCAAGGATCATTGATAATTGAGTTCCTCACAGTCAGAGATTCAAGCATACATTTGCAACAGGATTAAAAGGCGAGTATTTGAAGAAAGAATCCTGAGGTGAAAAAAGAGACCGTGCTTCGCCGGGCTTATTATAAAGGGTAGTAGAAATTTGATTAAAACCAGCAAAAATGCCATTATCTTTCATATGAGCTTTGAGTCAGTATGTCAATTATACTACATCCATTTCTTGATTTGAAAGACGAACAAATTTTATAGCATGGAAACTAATTGGGGCTTTCAAAGACAAGTATATACATATTGATATATTAATATATTTATTTATTTATCTATTTTTTAACGTCCCATAGAATTGAAAAATAACAACACTAAGGTATGACCATTCTGACAGTAGTATAGTAAAATTATCATTTTGCTATTTTTGGTGAAGAAGGACTAACTAGAACCATGAAGCACTAGACGAAAGGGGGGCCATTTCTGAGTTTAAGGTAACTGTTCACAATTTTAATTTATCGGGAAGAATCCGTCAAATTGAAATAACCTTTGGATGATAAATGGTGAACCAACAGAATACTTACAGGAGCTATAATAGGAAATAAAAGTTCGGAGAGTTGTTGAAATCTATCGATAGAATATTCCTGGACGATTTCTCCGAAGCACTTTAATGCAGCTCTCTTGTACGTTGGGTTTTCTTTTTTGCATTCTTTGAATATCGAGTCAAGTACCTACAGAAGAAGCACAATTTTAACACTTAAAATTGGAAGTGAAACATCAGTGAAAAAGTTTGAAGATCAACCACATGACAAGACATTCATTCCCGCATCATATTCATCGGTAGCTGCACGGGCCCGTAAAGCTGTTTTGTTTCAATTCAAGAAGATGGTTTCAAAATTTTTGAAAGTTGTACAATAAAACTACCAGCTTAAGACACAAAATGAAATGGTTAGGGTGCCATAAACTGCTTCACTATTCTTTATATTTTAATTTTAAAATATGGCTTCGTGCCCGTTAAGTAACCGGGACTTTCGAGAAACAGGCTTCAGAACCCTCAAGTATTGGAGCCGTGGACATGGCCATAAAACAAAGTGAAATATTATTAGGCATGAGGTAAAGATAAAAAGTATAACTTCTTCACAAATCAAATATGGAGCCTTTTTCTTGACATTTGTCTGTGTTCTGTTCCACGTCACATGTAAATCTAAACGTCGTCTTATCTTACTTCCTCAATATCTGGATCAACTCTTGGAGACGAGTCTTGTATTGACTTCCTACCATAGAGACGCAACGAAAAAAATATTATTTGTATATAGTGAAGAGAAAAGGGCAGAACTAAACGTCAAAAGTTCATACGACTCAGTTTCAGTAAGAGCTTTTTCTAAACAAACATGTTGAAAATATAACTTTGCATTAATAACAAACAAAGGGCGCCTATAAACTGTACGTTCCGGAAACCAATTGTCGTCCAATTATAATAGAACCACAACCCAAAAGCCAATCAGAAAAAAGGGAAATGCCAGAGGGAACCAGAAATAACTTAAAGTAAACATGCATGGTCGGATTCTAACGTAAGAATATGCAAGTAACCGAGTAAGGATTGGTTGAAGTTTGGCGACTGATTTATTGAACGGTCCAAGGTTTTTAAAAATAGCACAGAAAGCAGCAAAGCATAACCAGATTTAATGCAATTTTGGATTTACTTTGACACCCAGGTGAAATTATTGCTCATATTGCAATTTGTCATGAATGCGATTCTCCCTTCGTTTAGGAGTCTGAGTGCCTTACCTGCACTTGATACAAACACATGATACTGCGGAGAGCAGAGATTCCTAAACAAAACATAATCGTGCAAAAAGTAGGAGTTAAAACGACGTAATTCACAAGTTTACCATGCTACTTGTAATAATCCACGTTCAATTAACAAGACGCAAGACAAGATAACTAAGTCTGAAACTGTGTCTTATACACGATGTTAATTTAGGTTTCAAATACTGAAACCAGTATACCACATTGGATACCGTGCGTCGCAACCACAACAATACCATTTTCTTCAGAAAATTAATCTTTTTTGAAACACGCGCACTTACTTTGCCCGTCCATGTTCTCCCAGATAATCCGCTGACCAGAGAACTCAGCAACTTACCAAGGTTAGGCTGACAAAGAGAGGAACCTAGAAAACAGAAAGGTTAACCTCTGACATCCAGCAAGGTTAATTTGTTAAAATTCGTAACAAGCGACATCCTTACCTAGCTTTTGCGCTACGGCAGAAATCGTTACGGCGGCTTGGGCCCTAGTTGCCCATGCCTGTGACGTCAAAGCTGGACACGTGATTGATACTATTTCATCCAAGTACAATCGAATGCCTGCTTCGGTACCTGACGAAAAAGAGAAAAACAAAAAAGAGAAATGATAAAATCAACACTCGAAAACGGCGAACAAGTTGGCAATTTAACCTTTCTTGATTCATACAACAAGCATTGAAGACACGTATCGTACAGGTACCCGCTCCTTTTTTTCCCTCTCTTCCACTATTGTCAGTTACTTGTCACTACGATTCGCACCTATTAAACTTCTTACACTTGGAATTTCTACCTCGTCTGTAAGTCTATCCGCATTTGACATCGTTTAAAGGTTTTCCTGCCCTTTGCACTGTCAACAGTTCTTCCTACGTTTGATTTTTAGCGTTATGGCATTACTAAAGTTCATCTGCGTTTGCCCGCAACTCGTTTTTACTCGCAGCAACACTTGACTGAATAACAGCCGCCCTCTGCCTGACACTGTTTAGTGTTAATTTGGTGTCTCAAGATTTAATGTTTGCCCGTGGTCCAGTTGAGATTAGTTTATTGCTATTATCATACGGTGTTGCTTTAGACTAGTCATAGCTTTAAGAATAACCAGCATTTTCGCATAAATTTGCACAACCACAAGAAAAGCAAATCACTTACCTGGTGTGTTCTCGAGCCAAATCTCCTCCCATAAGGAGTCGCTGGAACTTGAACTGCTGCTTGCTGTAAATGAACATACTTCATTAACCTTTACTCTACGGCACTCTCTGATAGGTGTAAAAACTTAAAGCTACCCTCTCAACCCTAATATCGTTTTCGCATGAAACCACCCACCCTCCCTTTGCTTTTTTCTTTTTGGTTCTAATTGACGTTTCTATTGACAATTTTTTTAGTTTTACGATGCTAAATACAGATGTACAGCTCTCTGAGAATCACCTGGCAAATCATTCATCTACAGAACGGAAAATTTCACTTAACATACATTTGTTGTCAAATTGTCGTTCGTTCCTGTAACTTGGTACATCAGAACTACCCAAAAATATTCGAACAATACCTGTTGCCTTCTTGCCGTGCATGGCAAAAAAGACCGCTGGAAGGGCCTTGGCTGCGTGGCGTTTCAACACATCCGGGGAATAGCGTGACACGGCTTGAAGAGCAATACCGCAAGCTAACCTCAAACCTTCATCTGAAAGTAAGTGTTTAAAATAACAGCGTCTTTAATCGATTTTATATTTAATACTAAAAAATAAAACTTGGTGACCGGTTCTAAGACAGCGTAGAAGAAGTGATAACGTATTAGCTAACACGATGGACTGAGAAAAAAAAACTGGTTTGATGCCCTTGCAAAGTCATTGAAATGTGCTCTTGGGCGAGACAAGCTAAGAAATAACAAGACAATTTTAGATGAGTCTACTAAAACCTAACACATTTTTAGGAGGTTTTTCCGAAACCGATTTAAAATCCCCCTCTAAGGATTATCTCTCCTTAATAAAATAGCTTTGCTCCAGCTATGTGTATTTTTCTCCCAGGTAGTTGTTAGGTTTGTGATATCGTGCGTTGGGTATTTTGTTTATGTGTGTTTCTGAACCAAGCACGCTATTTCATTTTCAGTGATTCAGCTCCTGGTTAGCCTTCTTTGTTTTGTTTTGTCTTTTAACTCTCAAGGAAGACTGTGCTCCTTTTTGCTTTTTAATTCGCTAACTAAAGATTCTTCCCTTTGTTGTTTGTGTTGGGGTATAAAAGATTAAGTAGTTTAGAAGTAGTCATTAAAGACGATAGAAAGTGTGAGCGAGAAAAAAAACGGCGATTACGTTGGTCGAGGGAACGACATGGGTTCCAATGGTTACGCGTCACTTAACTTGACTTACAGAAGACCAACATTTACCTTCCTTTTCAAAGTACCATTTATTTATTTTATCGAGAATTTTCTCCACGGTACTGTCCTTTGCGACCTGTGTTTAATCAAGATATAAACAGATGGTCACAATTACGTGGCAAATAATAATTACTAGGAATGTTCGCTGGTGGACAAAATAAGAATCTATTCCTATGACAACAACATCAATATTCTACAATAGAACAATAACAAACATGTAAAGAACGACATTGGATTTTTTATAATTGATGTGGGTTTACCTTGACCAGATGACCTATAGCTGTAGCGTAAGATTTTCTGACGGAGGCGCTGCGATCGCTCAATCCAGACGACAATGCGTTGAGGAGTTTCGCTGTAGATTGACAAAAAAAAAGAAAGACACCAATTAAATAGGATTTTCGATATATGCAAAGTTTCTCTCGCGTAAACTATTTTGGACACTATATCTTATTCCCCCCATCCCCTCTCTTCTCTCTAATCAGTGTTTGCTGGCTCATAAGTGACGTATCCTGTACATCAAAACGCCTTCTTACAACAATGAAAGTCGAAGGCCAAGTGGGTGGGGTGAGGTGGGGAGTGGAGGGGAACGACATTTGGGTGCAAATTGTTCTAACGTCGAAAGTTTGGTTTTGTTTGAAAAAGGTTATGTTCGAGACTATGAAAGCAGTTAACAAAATACCACAGAGATACAATAGAGATTCGAAAACTCAGACTTACCAGCCCATGGAATCAATTCCTGGGGGCACTGCATAGCAAGAGAGACGACGAAACTAGCACATCCTGCCTAAAAAATAAAATCAGTTACAAGTGACTCCTCTTTGAATACAAATACATAAAACTAACAAGGTGTGATGACAAACATATAGAGAGAAAAACTACTACCTTTGTTCCCAGTCCGATTCCGGTTCGTAGAAGGTCAGATAGTCTGGGTACGAGTTCTGGGAGAACTGTTTCGTCAACATATTGCACGCACTGAAATATAGAAACAAAAAAAATTGAACGAGTTTAGAGGCTGAGATGGAATGATTTTTTCATTCAGCTCGACATACCGTCAATGCAGATAAAAATGAACACAACTCAATTATCAACCTGTGAAAGTAATTGATGCCTGCAGCCAAATAAGCATCCTCATTTGATAAATAAATTTTGCAGAGTTTCACTCTTAACTAAAAAAACGTGGAACATTGGAATGGCTTACGGTTCATGTTGTACTCCCATCTATTCAAACGTGTAAAAGGGTACAGTTTGATTTGCACTGACGGAAGATTTTCGGTAAACAAGAATACTCAACTTTAACTTTGGCCCAAATTTTAGTAAGAGTCTATTCTGAAAGCTGAAAAATCTTTTTTTTAAGCCAAGGCAAACCTCTAAGGTGTGCCAGGATATCTGGACCTGGATAGCTAATTCAACTTAGAAAAAAAAAAAAAGAGAGAAAATAAATTAGACTTTTCTAGTGATGTTCCGCAAAAGTACTCAAGGCTAAAGGTGGAATGCAAATGACGCGTGATCAGAGTTTTTACCTTGCAAGGTTGTTTGGATTTTGTGGTACATGTACAGTTTTCTATCGTGGGAACACGTTAGGAACACGCTTGCTTTAAATGTGATGAAATTCGAAAGGATAACGCAAAAATGTGAATAAATTTGTAAAACAAAATGGTACGATTGTGTTGCTCGTGAAAAGTAAGTGAAGTTTTGAGAAATACTATATCTGAAAGGTATCATTATTTGTTTAATATTACCATGTTGATTGTTTCCATCATAGGAGACATCTTGGAGGCAGCGATTCGCGCTCCTTCAAGCTGAAATTAAAGTAAGGGCATAACTATCAAGTCACCACTGCTTAAGAGTTGATAATGTAAACAGCCCTCCGTAAAGAGTTTCTAACGCTGACGTTTCGATTGTTAGCCCTTTGTCAACTTTATAAACTCTTCAAGGTGGCCACTTTACATTATCAGCTCAGTTGAGGAAACCAAATGATCTTGCGATATTCCCACCGACGTAGTACCACAGTTTCCTTAAAAACTATATTCTCACAGAGATTTGACATCAAACATTAGTTTAGTGTTCATAAATAAATTTTTAAGAGTTTGAGGACAAAATCATCAGATTTCAAATCCGTTACGATGAACCAGTTTTTCCAGAGGGATGAGGTTGAGAGGTTAAAACATGTTAAGTCAAATTCAAAATGTTTTTCTTTATTTTAACGCCTTATAATGCAACTTCAGATAAAATCATTGTTTCATGAAGAGTTTGGTTTCACCATTTTGAAACTTTCCGTATCTCTATGCTGCACTGCGTAACTGGTGGTCAAACGGCGGCTATACTCTGAGGTGGCATTTTCATTTAAGTTACTTTATTTGTAATCTACATTTCTAGGTTTTTACACAAGTACCTTCTCTTGAACGTCTTCACTTTTATGCAGTTGTAGACTCAAGTAGTTCATCGACTGTTTAAGCAAAATAGGAAACGATCAGAAAAGTGAAACAGATTACTTAAAGAACGTTTTCTGTGTGGGAGAAATTGAGATGGTTGTTGGTTCTTACACTTGTCCCGCGAACAATAGATCCCGCTGTCAGTCCTAACGAGGTCTTTGTGTTGTGTTTTTGGACAGAGCTCTTTCAATTTTTAAGTGACTCTAAAGGGCAAACTTTGTGAAATACCGTCTTTGCGAAAACTACCTTAGCAGGGGTTATAAGGTTTGTTAGAGTTTCCTATGTGCCTTTGACGCTTTAATAAGTCTGAGCCTCTCTCTAGAGTGCCCACTGTCTAACACTTAAAGTTTGCAACCCGTTCCCCACTCCGCTATCCCTCTCTGAAAATCAATAAGCCCCCTGGCGTGTATTTGGGCGCTTACGGTAAATTGCCGCAGCAAAAACACAGTAAAGCCAAGCAGAATACACCTTACAATTTTCTTTCCATTTAAGTCTATAAGTACGTCGTCAGATACAGACTGAATTGCTGGGCTGGCATAAAATTCAAATTTCAAACCTGGTCTTCCAAGCCACTGAGTGACTCCAGGAGAGCGATTACCAGCAATGGAATGTGAGGTTTTAGCAGAGCACCCTATGGGAAATGAAGACATTTGATAAGTAAAAAGCTATAATTGAAGCCAACTTCACTGCTTTTTAGAAGAGAATATAATACTCTCTCAGTAGAGCTACAAGATCTGTTCGAAGTCGTTTTCCCGCCATAATTTAACGTATCCGCCATGGGTCAAGTTTTTCCCGCCGATACATCCACGTGAACCATGTTATTGAAATTGCGACGGTTATGAGGAACTGAACCCCCTGACATTAGAATATCTAAAGACAAAAGAGCGCACAGAGGAACATACCGCATTCTTGCTGATCTTCACTATTGTAGAAAGACTGTAACGACAAAAAGAAATAAGATTATGCATTCGATCCGTTTTAACCGTTTGACCTCTAAGAATGACTGGCATCTTATTTCTCATTACAATATCACCCCAGAATCACACATAAAGATCATGAGAATAAAGGAAATGATCATCAACTGGAGAAGCTATTGATTATTAATCAAATTCTCCCTGTCAACACCCTAGAAAAAGTATAGTTAATAGTATGAAGACTATGATTACTGATGGCGTTCACGACGAAATAACACAGTTAACTAATCTATCAAGTTGTACTAATTGGAATACGCCGTTACCTTACAGATCTGACCTCGTCTGCACTGTTCGCCACTCCCTTATGTAACAGAGTTGGAAGGACTAATGCGATAGCTGTTTCACCAAGCTTGCCTTGATTTACATCACAAACACGAATAGACACCTGCACAATCAAGTCAAATTAAGAACTCACTGCATATTCCCCATAAACATAGTTTCCACTGATGTCTCCGCCTATTACGTCTCAATCGTCCCCGAAACCGTCGAGAGTCCAGATAATCAACACACTCAGAGAAACACTGGTTTCCATTAAATCTCCTCAAATGCCTAGCAATTGCTCAATTTAATTGGGAGTCGTTCAATAATTGAAATTAACTGATATTGACCGTTTATTTTGAGTCAAGGACAACTGTTAGTGAAAACGAGTTACTGAGGAACAGACTAGCAGTCTGTAATAACGTAAATTTCAAAAGATAAAAGAAGTTATCCATGCCAATCAAGTTCTAAAACGAAGTGACGTGATAACGTCACCACAAATACCTTAGTCTTTAAATTCAACAAAAGAATCCTTCATACCTTACTAAGTGTCCTACAAGCTACTTCGGCTGCTTGTCTGACAGATTCCTGCAAAGTAACCACTGAGTTTTACGTTCCACTTATTTACATTACTCCGGATACTTTTCAAGGCAACCCAGGCGAAGTCATTTGAAAGAGTAACCCTTTTACAGTAAAATGTTAGCGTTTACAAGGAAACAAAATTCAAGGGTGGTTATTTTCTTGAAAATATATATTATTTTGGAACCCGGTCTGAGAAATTCACTTAATCAGAGCTTTCAATAGCTTTTCCTCTAAGCGGCTGCAGATAGCGTAATAGGCCGTTTCGCCGTTAGGCAAAACCCAAATACGAGAGCCTGCTCGCTGGCTCAGCAGACGGCGGTGAGAGTTCTTATAGGCGGAGGTCTCGTAACTGGCTGTTATTGAAACTCATGAGTAATTCGCTTAACATGGAAATCCAAGAGTTTTTCTGTCGTAAATCTTCATTTATTACCAACCTTAATGTCATCTCGTGCTCTAAAACACAGCTCCCAAAGTTTGGGGAGAGAGTCGAGCACGTCCTCTACTGATCGACCGCTGAGGAGATCACTGAGAGCCATGCAACTGAAAATAAAAACAAAGATAAGAAAATTTTATAAATGAAAAGGGAAACGCTACACAAGTAAAGGGAATAGAAGGTAGGGCTGGTAACAGACAATCAGGCATATAGACAGACCGACAGAAAATCTAACCGACCTACTGTAAACAGAAAAGTTCAGTTTTTGGTTTTCTTTTTGTACCAGTATCTGACTCATCTTAAAGTTCTGATAGATTTACCACCATTATTTGAGCGCTTTACGACACATTTCATAAACAATAAACTTAAAAACCAATGTCGGTGATGCCTTCGCTATTGAACCCTCACAATTCACAGTATTATCCCTAAAAAAAAAACACCTCCAAAGCTGAAAGTAAACTTTAAACATATGAACTAAGGAGGTAAGTTTCTTAAGAAACTATGGTGCTGCGTAGGTGCAAGGTATAACAAGGTAATTTGTCTGTTGTTAACAGCCACCGTTAAGAGTTTCTGAAGCTGACATTTCAAGAGCAAGCCCTTCCTCCTTCGCTGTGACGAAAGACTAAAGTTATAAGTAAATGATCTTTGCTTTTTTCACCTACCTGGACTGTCTTACCCTCCATATGTTACTCTCTAGACTTGTTTTTAAGTCTTCTAGTATTTCATTCACGTATTTATCCACCTAAAACACCAAATGACATCAAAACTAAGGATGCGGAAACTTTGAAAGCGTGACTTTATTCCAACGGCTAGCCCTATCGTCCATACTTAACCGGGTGAACTGTCCTCAGAGGACGGAGCTTTTTGAAAAGGCCCTTCAGACCGGATAAAATTCGAAGAACCCCACTTTGCGTTTTAACTAAATTAACGAAAGAAAAACGGATTTAATAGTGACACATCCACTTAAGGCTCGTAAAATGCAAGCATGACTGTTCAAACTCCCAACTAAGTTAATATGCAATAGGTAAATGCAAGTTTACTAAGTTCCTATCACCAATCAATTCCAGAATACAAGGAGGTGTTTAGTCATTCTGTTAATCATTCCTTTTCTATGGATACGCACTGCTGAGGAAGCTGTAATTACCGCTGAGTGGATTTGATTAGCATACGTTGCAGTTTTCTTTTTTTCTTTTTTCCATTTTTCCTCAACGTCAGATGGGAGGAACGTTAAATTAACCGGGATACACGAAAAGGAATATACTCCAAAAAGGAGGAAAAAAATGCCCTTCAATTTTCCTCCTTTGGACTTCAGGTTTTATCACAACTCCCGCTTAGTTTACGCTTCTTCCGTTTGTATTAAAAGAAACAGAGAGTGTTTTGCAAGCTAGCCTACGACTTAAATAAACCAACCGTTTTCTTTGTCTCTGGTACGAGAGCAGCCCAGATGCTGGTCATTGCCTGTTGTATTTTCATATTGGGGTCATACTGGTACCTGGAGGGTAGAATTACAGGAATATACTTCTTCTCCATTTCCACACACAACACACTGCGCATGTCACATATGAGCCTTGTAAAGGTGACAGAGCGGCAAAATGAATGCGCATGCTCCGCTACCCGAGCAGTTCGAGATTTCAGGGCTACGATTCTTCTTCTGCAAATATAAGCTGACGCGGTTTTTCCTCCGGGAAAACAAACTCTTTCTCCGGGCGGTTTGCCCGCTGAGGCGGCGATGACAAGAAGCGCTAAAGCAAGAACAGGTGCTGCGAAACCCGTAGTCATGTTACGGCGGCTCCGCTTCAGTCACTAAATTCACACCTGTTACCACAGTACGTTTTATGTTGAGCGAGATATGTGAATGAGATCGTGACAAGATGAATGAATTTCTTGTAATACCTTACGGTGTTCAACATTTGTCCAAAGGATGGGTTAAAGAAACAATCTAAATATTCTATAAAGAGCATAGCCATTACACGGTCCACTGCTTCACAGCATCAGAGACCTCTTACGAACACATAGCCAGAAACAAAGATCGCATGTGAAAATACTTAACATGAAAAAAGTAATTTATGTTTACCTGAACAACTTTGGTACAATCTTAGGAAGGTATGGCTCCAACTGCTCTCTTGAGTGAGCAGCTATGGATGAAAACCCAAACGTTGCACCCTTGGAAGAAAAGAAGAACAAAAACATAGAATTTTAATTTTCTGTTTTCTGGATGTTTCGGGTGGTCAGAGAACGTTTGACCTGGTTTACATGTAATTGCCCCGATTGCTTGAGTATCACTCTGGATGATTGGGATCTAGGCGATCGGTGATAACCAGGCCTAGGCAAAACCCAACAATCGTAAAACAACCTAGACATGGTTATCGCCACGTAGCTTATGTGGAAGTTTTCATTGGTGCTGCTTCACGGGCATCTCGTAAGCGAACAGAGGAGGCTTCTCCAACCATCGTATACGTTACGAGAGGCCCGCGAGTTGATCGGTCAACAGTGCTCGTGGGAGACTGCTCACAAGCGACTCGCCGCCTCCTAGGTATTTAGAGAGGCACGAGCCTATGCCCTCTGACGTATTACATTAATCAAAAACAAAATACGAAACAAAACCAAACTGTTTAATTCATACGATACCTTCCGGGAGTTCCACAGAGCGTTTTGATTTGCAAGGTGCATAAACTTGTAAACAAGGTCTGGCTGGTTTAGATCACTTGCAATGGAACATAACTCCTTGTAGGTGGAGACTCCGCTCCTAAAACGTCAAGTGAGATGTGAGGAAGAACATAATAACATGGCTCGTTCGTTAGTCCTGTCTAATTTCTGTTAATCCGCCATGGCATTCATCCATAATTAGTACACCATAACGCAAGTACATAACATGGTGTGTGTAGTTACATTTACGCTGTAAAGCGTGCTCCCCTCTAGTTTGGCTACGAATTGCTGCTAAATTTTCCCAAAATCAATGGATGAAACTAGCGAAGGATAGTAAGCAATTATTGGATGAGGTTAAGTAAGATATCATTAATTATCAAAACCGAGGTCTGAGTCAGATAACACAGAAACGAGGTTTGATCATTCATAATATCATGCGAAAACCAAATTCAATAATTGTTTTATTGCACATTTTTTCTGGACTATTTACGTTAAAGTGCGTTAATTTTGGATCGTTTCGAGAACAATGATGAAAGAGATGATCCAACGTGTTTTGTGTCCATCAAAACTTCGACAGAATAACAGTGACGATATCAAAATCGTTATTAATGGCAGAAGACACCCCCTACCCCTCAGAAAACTTGGTTCCACCGGTGACGTGCTGGACTGACCTGAAACGAAGAAGACAAAAGAGTTTTAAAAACGAGAAAAGAAAAACAAAAAATAACAAAGAAAAAAAATCTTTGCAACTTCACTGACGCTTGAGGAGCTTACAAAAGTCTAGAGAAGTTATTTGAGCCACGTTGCGGTTTCTTTTTCTCTTTTTTTTTTTGTTTCTTTTTTTGTTTTTTTGTTTTTTTAAATGGCGAGGTTCACAGTCAAATTTTAAGCATAATTAAAGACACTTTTTGAACAGTTACGTTACTCTACGGAATCTCAAGAAGGAGCATACAGCTCATTCTCATGTATTCTATTTCAGTTGCAAAACTTGATCGAGTATGGTGAAGATTACCACGGGTTAAAATTTGACCCACTGGAATGTAGAGGTTAAATTAATTAAGATGCACAAATATTCATCTAATGCCTATAGCTCCTTTAATCTCAGTATCGTTACAGAACTGCTCGTTAATTATTAACTCAGTTAAGTGCTCACCTCCTACCATTCGTCAGCGTATCAACCAATAGGGAAACAAGCTCTTTCTTGCTCTCTCCGTCGCCATGTTCGTATACTAGACCCAGTCCTTTCGAAGCTACTTCTTGAGTGAGGTCTGGAAACAAAATGAAAAAATGCGAGTTTTATAATAATAAACTACAAGTAAACGTGAAAAAGTGTCAGGTTTTTTTTGGGATGATAACAGGAATAATAAGCTATAAACACAGGCCACAAGCTAATAGAAAAACGGCTTTTGCAGGCGCAGTTAAGGTAAAGGTTACTTCATCTAAGTCTTTCTGAAAATGAGGTATTCCGCATTTGTTTTTGCTTTTGAGACATCCATTTGCATCGTGACAAGGAAAGACGAATCACCTGTTTCAATATTTTCTTAATTTCTATCTTTTTCGATAAAAGCTCTTTGGTTTCCTCTTGAAAACTTGCAACGTATTTCTAATCTATGTGTTGTTCTGGGTGATGCATAAATTAATATTTGCCGGTAGGTTATCAAGACTTGTGTTGGAGGTCTTTTTAATCGTTTTATTTGACGTCATGGTGATGAAAAAAATAGGAAACTGACTAATTGGTCCATCCCTTAACCCTTCGGAGTGACTGACATCTAATTTCTCTCTACAGACTCACATCTGAATGAAACATTAGGGTTATTAGAAATTTAACAAATTCTCCGTGTCAGCACCTTGAGAAATGCACAGAGAACAGCATGGAGAATAAGCAGACTGATGCTTGGGTGTTAAGGATTAAGATATCAGATAAGTAACACATCAAAGCGTTCAACGCGTAGTCATACCGTCTGTTTCTGCCAACATATTCATGAACACCATTTGGATTTCTTTAAGTTTTGCCTGTAAGAAGAAAAAAAGATTATACAGCCTTTCACAGAATACACCCAAAACTAGAAGAATTAAAAATTCGTAACATTACCTCTTTAATAGCCAAATATAGATCCTCAAAAAATGGAAAAATAAAAAGATAATAATAGTTAAAAAACATTGAGTCATGATCAGTGGAACAAAAAGCCACACCTGAACAACTTTGTGATTCCCGGAATACTTCACAAGTGACAACAGCCAAATGCAAGAAGCCTGAAAGAGAAAATTGCGGTTATGAAAGAGCTTTTAGAGCGAGTGTCGTCATGCCAAACACAAAGTAATCATGTAACCCACAACGAATAACTTGATACACGAGGAAACAATAAGAACTCAAATTAAAACAAGCAAACTGCTGCAAACGAGTGACACCGCAAATGATTTAAATGTGATTTTGGTTGTACACTCCCAGACGTAAATAACTGGGACAGTTCCCCATAACACTGTCTATGATGTTCTTTCACCCCTCTCCCCAGTCCACTTTTGTTAACTGCCTATGTATCTATGCCATCTTGCTGAGCAACATTGTCTTTGGGAGTGTAATTTGCATCCGAGGGGGTGGAAAGGAGGGACCGAAATTTCTACACAAGCCAATCGCAAAGCGCAAGGAAGAGGACTAAATGCAGTTTCGGTTTACTTTCAACTCTAAATTGAAAATTGCTGTATAGTTTAAGTAGATAATAGCTTCAAGGATCGTTCAAATTTCAGGGGTATGAATTTCTATAATCATTCATATGCACTGCATGTGTGCAAAAATTGCGACTTTAATTCTATGGATTTATGACTTTCTTCAGTCAGAAAAACAAGCTTGTGGATTCTCAAATCTATTCAAAAATTCCAGACTAAGTAAAACCTGTCCGTGGCTTCTGCCTTTTTTCTTTTCAATAAGTGTCACTCATCTACAGAAACCTGAGGCTTGGACGAGTCTGAAGGTGGATCAAAAGAAACATACTTGTCTGACGTATGGGGTGGGACTGGTTGCATATTTGTTGATAATCTTCTCAGTAAGTTCCTGCATGATCTCATCTGTCTTATCACAAGCAGTACTTGCAAGTTGTTCCACTACCCAGGGGTCAAGGGCAACCTGTGACGTTCTGCCTGCCCCTGCGCATGACAGGGCCTCCCCTATAGTGAACTGAACTTCTACTTGCCGGATCTGTTAAGTAAGGAAACAAAGACTGGTTGGTACTGTCTTACTGTGAGAGAGCCTTCCGATTGAGTGTCATTAAACGAAAACAAAAGTAATGAAAACGGTAATTCAGAAGAGGTGAAAATACCCCAAAAGCGTCAATGAGAACTAAGAGTAAGAACAAGTAAACAGCTCAAACCACTAGAAAATGCTGGCGACCAATTCCTGTTTGGTTGTAGTTTGCAACTGATTGGTTGAAAAAGTGGCGCAAGTTTTCTGTTTTACAATCACTGACCAAAGTAAAGCGAAACCAGTGCTCTACCGGATTTCTTTCGACATTCAATTGAAATTGGTTCTATTGGTCTAATGTCAAAAAGGAACTAATTTCTCATTTGGGATAAACTCGGTTCTGGGAATTGTGGGTTTCGGTGATCAAAATTATACATGAAGATAGCAGCACCTTAGCAGCTTCACACAGGCCATCAATCAGTTTCTCATGATGCGGGAAATTCTCATCTCCAACCATAAGAAAACCAAGGGCATGGGCGGCATGTTCCTTGACCTGCCAATCAACAGTCCATCAATTAGTTTATCAATATTCACATGTACCAAATTTACAAGTCGCGACTCAAATTGTTTCCCTGCAACTGACCAGAGGATGAAATAATCTGGCAGAAAAACAAAACAAAAACAAACAAACAGAACAACAACAAAAAGCTCCAGATATCGATGGGATAATTTGATGAGTTGATCAATGAATGGCTTGCTCACCACAGACTCGCTGTGACTCAGTGGTAGAACATCGGAGCGCGGAAACAGAAAGTCTGAGGTTCGATTCCTCGTGGGAACTCAGAATTGTTTCTTTGTCCCACGCTCGTGATAAGACGAAAAAACGTATTTTGTTTTTTTAGTGAGCTCAAAACTCACCATCTTTTTTATTCTATTTCAATCAATCAATCAATGTTATGAATATCGTTCCCAGAAGGATCAAAACATTATTGACTAAAGTACCTTATTCTCCTTTGAGTTCTCTAAAGTGTCAAGCAGTTTTTCAACGACTGACAACTTGCTAACATGATCATCAGTGGCTGATAGTCCAGTGGCTACATCTAAATATTAAATACAAGCAAAGTTCTCAGAGAATTACATTATCAAGAAGTATTCAGACATATTTTTAAGGTAGCTGTACTAACTTATTAACTACGACGGAAATAATTCAAGCCTTGAGAAAGATGTGAAACGTCTGACCCCAAGCATGGTGTCGTGTCACATCGAAAGCAGAATCTTATCATGGGAATTGATAGGAATGATGTGCATGACTGTTGAATATGAACATCACAAATTCTTGTGAGTTGTGATTCGAAAGTCGGTGTTGTAAGAAAATTTACAAATGAGACAAAGAAGAATCGAGTCCCCCGCCGGGTGATTTGATTGTAAGAAAGGATACTTTTCTATCTGTACCAAAGACTAAGACTACAATGAGTGGCAACTGAAGTTGGTACGCTTCCCATAGGTCGTTGGTCGACAACGCGCCATTCAACATAATGAACAAGATCTTGTTATTCTTCTCTAGTAAATTACTTGAAAAACCCTCTTTCTCCCGACCAATGTAAAAAAAAGGCAATTTGCTAACAGGAAATGAGTCACTATTATATATTACAATGGAGGAGACAAATGGAAAATATAGGAAAAAATTAAATAGTATTACAACGTGCCAGGACGCCCAGTTTCTCCACCCATTGTAGTGGCTCATGTGTGACAAGCGTTCTGTGCACCGCTAGGATCAGCAGCGTTAAAAGCTTCAAGAAAAAGAAAAATAACGATAATAAATCTCCTAACCTTGCTCCATCTTTTCGAGTCCAGCGGGAAGAGGAAGCGGTCCGTTTCGACCGATCTCGCCAATAGCATGACAAGCAGAACAGCTTATCAATGCATTTCTGCTGTTCAAGAGTTTCACTGCCAAAATAACATAACAATATTCTAATTCAACATAAAGGTAACAGAAAAGAAAAAAAAAGTTCTTAATACGCGATAGAAACCACCACTTGAAAAGAGACTTAAAAACATTAGTTCCTTAAGATAGAAAACCCGAAAAAAAAAAGGCATTGCTGCCCAAAAAATGAGCACGGTCGGCTATGAATTGAGAAGAAACCGCCACGTAGCTCCTCAAAACGAAGTTCACTTTTTCTTTGTGGGATATCTGGAAAAGCTAACATATCATGAATAACCTTACTCATCGGAGGTAAACAGTTTCCATTCCTAGACTGATAAACCCGTATTGATGTGAAGAGGAAGGACACTTAAGGTATAGTCCTCGAAACGGGAAGATTAAACCGCCTTTCTGCAGGCAACTTTTGCTTGGAATTCCTCGCATACTTATCTGAGATTCCCGTTTTTGAACGAGGAAAAGCATGACTAGAAAATACTTTTCAAGCACCAATTTTTCTAATACAGTCACAGTTCGCAAGAGAAATTGTTAAGGAGATTGCAAAAAGTTTAATAAAAGGATATTCTTCCATGGACATTTTCGTTTGTCGTCAAAAACCTCTCACGTAACACTGTAGCATAAATACGGAATAAAAATGTATCAAACCTAGTTTTTCCACGCTGCTTGTCACAAGCTCCTCTTTCGTGGCTACAGATGCAACATTGCCGGAGTCGTCCACCTCCATATCTTCTAACACCAGGTTTTGTTTGCCTGCAGATTTTAATGCCTCCTGGTAAAGATGCCTGGCTATGACGAAGCCCAATGTGCCCACTGATCCAAGCTGCATCTCAAACAACTAAAAGCATCGCGTATAGTGTTAAGATTAGTTTAGCAAAAAAGGGAAAAAGAAAGGTGGGATTTTTAAGACGAGGAGCGACTGCGCGGCGAAAAATCACCGAACTTAATGGATGACGCTTGCGATAACGGAAAAATATTCAACTTCATGAAAACGCTGAAAAAAAGTTGTTTTTAACTTAATTTTTTCCCCAAGGTTTCATGATTATGGAAAAGTGGGCCAAATCAGCGATCATTTAACACGAGTGTCTAAGTTTTAATTGAATTATAAACATTGTAAATATTTTCCACTCCCTTGTTACCCTACATCTTATAAAATCCTGTGGACAAAATGCAAATAATTGACTGAACTTCCGATCAAACTATGTTTGGGAGACGTCCAGGAGATAATCTTTTTAAGTGTTTTACCATTTCAGCGACATGTTGTTCTCTGAATTAACCTTGTGTTTCACCAACCTCACTATCAAGCGCTGCAGAGAGTTCCTTAATCACATTCGTGAAAGATTCTTCCCCCATTGTACAGGTAACAACTGCCAATAACTGGCCGGCATATTGACGAGCATCCTCTCTACTTGAAAATGTAAAACTCTACAAAACAAAACAAAAGCAAAAAGCTTAAAGATAAAGGTACCGGTTTTAGTACTGATAACAACGAATACTGTGACTCTTGAGTTTCTTTTAAAAAATTACACTGCGTACAGGCCCCATGTTTATCAACGTTAAGTTGTGAGTGAAATGTGAATTGTTATCAATCGCCAATAGTATCTAGAAAACTAGGCATTTCCTAACAAGTAATAGTAGCAGAGCATAACCAGAGACTACTACAAACGACCCCATTAGAGCACACGATAACACATAATGACACTCCCTTGAGAGCGTGTTGAGCGTAATTCAGACCATTTTGGATGAAACCAAGCTTACTTTTATCCATAAAGGGGGTAACTTGCTGAAGAAACGGTGGTGCTGCGTCGGTGGAGGAGTGTAACAAGATAATTTGGATTTATCAACTGAGTTGGTCATATAAGATGGCCACCGTATAGAGTTTCAAGCTGACATTTTGAGCGTTAGCCCTTCGTCTAACGGAGGGTTACCTTTATCCAGTCGAGTTTTCCATGAAACATCCCTGCCAATTGATTCGGTACAACAGACACAACCTGGAGAAGACAGCACAGAGCCACAGCGTGAAGATCAGATCCTAAAAGTAATAAATAAAAAAAAAAAGAAAAAAGCAAAAAGTAAGAGAAATGATACCAAAATACAATAAATAAATTCACGGTAAGATTAACCCTTTACACTCAAACATTCTCTGGACATTTCTTAAGGTGCTAACACGGAGAATCTGTTTAACAATCAAGAGCTTCTTTAGTTGGGGATCATTTCCGTTATTGAGTGACTCAGACCTTAGTGTGTGATTCAAGGTTGATGTTGTAAGGAGAAATTAGATGCTAGTCACTCTTAGGAGTCAAAGGGTTGCAACAGTTTGGTTAACAGTAGTATTAATCAATGTGTGCTGAAACCGCGCAGAACTAGGCAACTTGATTTGGATGAAGATAGGTTCAGAAGGTTAGATAACTCTTCAGAATCCTACAGCGGGGTGAGTGTTGTACTTTAATTCTTTCTTTTTTATGGCAACACCACCACATTCTCCATAATCCTCTTTATACATTTCCCAAGGTATTGACCAGGAGAATTTGTTTAACAATTAAGAGCTTCTCGATTGGGTGGTCATTTCCTGTATTCTTATAACCTTAACGTTTGAATCAGTAGCGAAAAAATGAAAAAAAATTAGATGGTAGTCACTCTGATGGGTTAAGAGGTTTTAACCCTTTACCTTAATGTGTGATTCAGGGGTGATATTGTAAGGAGAAATTAGACGCTGGTCACTCTTAGGGGCTAAAGGGTTAAGAGAAGATGATTAAACATACCTCCTATGGACTGGAGGGCTTGTTTTACAAGTTCAATGTACTTTCCCACGGCACTTGACTGGAAGTCTATAATCAGAGTCAAGAAATTGCATAATTAACAACACTTCACGCCCTGTACAGTACAGAAGTGGAGAAGTCTAACAATGCATTTCCATTGAGTTTCACGAAATCGGAACCAAACTAACCACAGTAGTCGTGTAGAAATAACAAAAATAACACATGGAATTATGGAGAATCCCGCGTTAAACTACCTGAGGCACGGAACAAGGTGAATGACCATGTGGCGAATTGTTTTTAGTTACGCATCTGATTAGTTGACAGGTTGAGGTTAGTTTTCTAGACTAATCACAGAACGAAGTGTATACCTTCAACTATAACATCTGCTAAGAGTTTCTCCACATATTGTGCAACAGATGGAAGAATGCAGTTTTTGATCCGGTCCTCTTCTGTTACACCAGCAGCATATTCCATACATTTTTGCAAATATAGTAACACCTGAAGCAAAATGCCACAACGTAAAACTCTACACTAACGGCATATTTCATCAGTTACCTTCTGTTAACTCTAAAAGTGATTAGGAAGTTACTTCTACCCATAATATCCCAACATTATCCAACAAACAGGATAATCTTCTACTTATCAGGTAAAAGTTATTATCTTGATCTAACACCACATTATCATAACTAATTTAGAAAGAAATATGTAACAGCAAGTGGGGAGAATTGACAATCAGATCTTGCGAGTTAAAGGGTTAAAACTACTACACTACTGACTGTAAATAGCCAGGAACACTGTGCAGTGTTACTGGGCAAACCATTTATTTTACAATATTTCTGTCCTACTAGTCGTGCATGGGTAATGGCAAACTGGAAGGGAAACTAGTAGTTTGTCTGCGACGAAATGTTGGTGTAACCTGCCATGAACTAAAATCACGTTCAAGGGGAGTGGGAATGTTTCATGAGACTATATGCTTCGGAATCAGGAACGTATCTGGAGCATTACATATGGTGTCTCCAGGGTCGCTTGCAGGACTGTACTGTAGTAAAGGAATCTACGCAAGTGTCTTCCTGACACTTGGACCATGGCCACACCCCTTGTCTCTTTGGAGTTAAGATATGCTCATGGACACGAATGGCGAGCGGAAGACAAATGAAACGGTTTTAATTTTTTTCACTGAAAACATCGAATCAGCTGGAGTGTGTTTATTTCAACATTTTAAACCAAAGGCTAAAAGCGAAATATTTGTGCCTTGCTCCCGAGGAAAGAACCCTGACCTTCTGGTTGTCGTCTAAGTATCAAAAACATCATCATTTTTAAGTCTGATGTCTCAATTGTTTTTCTCTAATGCACGTTAGATTAAGAGTACCTGTGAAAAAACTGGTGGAGCAAACGGCAACGCAGTTGTTCCTGCTGTGTAGCAATTCTTGCTTCTCAATCTTTCGAGACTCTGCAATTGGATAAGTATATGCTGGCATTACAAAATGAGCACTTAAGTGGCCGTCAGAGTTAGATATCGATGCATGCGTAAACCAATACGAGGCGATGCAAATTAAGACAAAATTTTCTTACATAAACAGAAGAACCTCCTGAGCAAAAGCCTTTTCCTGCCACGTTACATCAAAAGATTTGAATTTAACTGTCAGAAGCATCTACTGTATGTACCTTTTGAGCCACGAATGACACCATCTCTGCGAAGGAAGGAAGTTCACCTTCGGTTCCACCGCTGACTTCTTTCAATGTCTTATCAGCCACTCGTGCTCCTCTTAATCCTCTCCGTGCTTCTTCCTTAACATCATCTTTACTACGATAAAGGCATTTGTCAACACAACCATCAAACTTCTGCCCATGAGCGAAGTTTTCTCACAAGAGAAATAAACAACCATACCGGCAAGCTACGAAGCCATTATGTTTTAGAGTGTACGACGCTTTTGACAAAAAGCAAAACAATATAGTAAAACAACAGGAAAACCCGTAATCAGATAAACTCTAAAAAAAAAAAGTCTTCCTATTCCTACTTTTATTCCTTTTCAAGACTTTTACGAATAATTCAATTTAACGTTGGCGTATTTCAGTTGCATGACAGCGGTCGCTTCATATGTTATCCTAGAAATCTTTTGCGGGATATTGGTGTGAAGACAGCGGTCAAACGTTTGCGCATGTGCATACGTTGTGTTGGCGAGGTAGCGAAGTTTGTTTGCAAACCAAGTTGTCATCTTAGAACTATGTGCACAAGCTAGTAAGTCACGGTGCTGTGTAAAACAATACAACTTTTTTGATAAAGCTCCAAAAAAAAAAAAATGGTAAAGAAACAGGATAACCGTAATTAAGTGCGGGAAAAGTCTTGAGTTTTTCCTCTCCCTACTTACGCTTCCTTTCCCAGATTTCTATGAACGTTTTATTTTCTTCGCATACTTTGCGTGACGACGGTTGATTCTAATGTTATCTTTGAAAATTTTGCGCGGAAAATTGATGCCCGGCCGGCCAAAAATGATCCCCTTGCACATGCCCTACGTTTGACCGCTGTGTTTTGGCGTGCGGCCGGGGAAGATTTACTCACTTGCCCATACCCGACGTTTGACAGCTGTGTTCATATTTAACAAACAGAAGGAAACACTCTTTAAATGAAGTGTTTTAATCAAGTTCAGAGTTCAAAAACAAAGCTATCGATCTGGAATCCACCACGCTAACTACCAAGCCACCACTTCTGTTAAGGAGAAAATGTGGGAATAAAAACTTAGCTCGAGAAAGCGACTTACACATCAGCCACAGCCAACATACACACATAACGGGATGAGACATGTGTCCTGGGGAACACGGCATTGGCAAACTGTACAGCGACAAGTCTTGCCTGGTGTGTCTCCTTAGCAAAAGAATTGGATATAAACAAATACTGTTACAAATACTGTTAACGTACCTTTCAGATTAAAAATACATGTAATGTCAAAGAAAACAAGCCGTTTTTCTTGGTCCCAAACTGGTGACAAGACGAAAAAAATCTTTCTCTATCTCATCACCGAGCTCAAAATTTACCATTTTTTCTTATGCTGTTTATGCATAGAACGCTTTCGACATTGGTGATCCTATCCTGTGTGTATGATCCTAGTGTATGCAGGTTGTGTTAGATATGAACCTCGCAGTAGCCTGACTCAGAGTATCTAAGGCTCAGTGGTAGAGCATCACAACGCGGAATCTGCAAGTCTGAGGTTTAGTTCCTCATGGAAACTGAAAACTTTTTCTCTGTCTCACGCCCGCGAGAAGAAGGTCAAAAAAACATCTTCCCGTTATACATGAAGTACCTCATTGATCATATATGCTCAAAAGAAGTTCACTAAAAGGTTGTCTTCGGCCGATTTAACAGTTTTGTTCGTTTTGATAGTAACAAAAAGAACAAACAAGAACAAACAAAAACAAACAAACAAACAAAACAAGTCGAGTAGTCTAGCATTATTTATCGTGATATATGACCACTGAAACCTTTCCCTACATGGCCTTGCCAAATGAATTTCCCTTTAAACACAACAGAAAATGGAAAAACAAATTTTCCTTGTCTAAGATTTCATTTCTAGTGATAAACACTGAATTATCCACTAAATGCTCTATCTTTTTTTCTTCGTTTTGATAAGAAAAAACGAACAAACAAACAAACGAACAAACAAAAAAAAAAAAAAACATCAACAACAACAAACAAACAAATATAAGTCGTGTAGTCTAACATTACTTATCGTAGTATCTGACCACTGCAAACTTTCCTTAAATATCCTTGCCTAACGGTTATCTCTTTCAATAACATCACAGATTTGGAAAAATAAATTTCCCAAACCTGGGATGTCATTTAAAGCGATAAACACTGAATTATCCACTGGAAGTTGTATCTAAAGACTTCGATGGATACTACAGCCCTAAATAATGCCAACAAATAAGTTCTCTTTTCGTAAATCGCAGCATGCCCTAAAAAAAATTTCTTTATTTTTGAAAGTTAAATGTAAAGTTTCAAAATTTGTCAATGAAAGCATTGCAAATTGAACAAATTGTAATGAGAGTGCTTATAAAAATATATAAAATGTAGAATTATGAGTGACATAAAAATGACATTGAGACAAATTCTTTCCACTTCTTCTGTGATTTTAAAGAAGCTAGTTGGTGGGCTAGTGATTAGTTCTTTCAAGTCACAACACGAGTCATGTAGACTAATGTTATGGATGTTTATGTTCATCAACGTATACTGTAGTATATGGGTACCTAAATATCATCTCCAAATAATTACCACTAACAATAAAATCACGAGAGAGAGACATGATTTCCCCTTCTTTAGGGATGTTATATTCAATGATAACTCTTATTATATACTTCAGAACAGTTGTCTCTATGTAACACCACTTTATTTCAATCCAAAACAGCGAAAATTAGGATAAAAGTGTTTAAGTTGATGTTGAGCACAATACTCAGCAAACTGGAGCGCTCAAGGCTCCTACTGAACAACCTGAGGGTTAGACAGCAGATACTGGGGAGCCTAGGGCCTATATAACAGCTAGGAAAATGGTTCATACAATGTCCAACACAGGTGGGGAGCTTAATCCACCTTAACCTAAACAACCTCCTTTGAGCGAAAGTTTAAAGATTGATGAAGAATAGGATGAGGATTTCCCATCATCCTCCTCTCGTCGACAGGCGAATGAGCAGTTGGCTACTTTTCTCGACAATTCCCGGAAACTCTCAAAATCGTTTGAGAGAAAAAGAATCTGCGGCAGATCTCCCAGACCCGACGTTGATGCGGCTTATACACCCATGCTAGAAATCAATTCTAACCCCATGGACCAGTATCGAGTTTCTTGGGTTTTCTGATCAATGAATTGAACTCTTTCCCTCCCTCGACACAAATTCAAAAAGGTCAGAAAGGAATGTCACCAACTGCTGATCAATCCTCATGACCTCAATTTCGATGTTTTGTCCCCAAAGGAGAAGTCATTGAACTGCCAGAATTGACAACGGAATCTCAGTTTCAATGTAGCACCAAGACCTCTTTTCATGCTAGTTTCCCATGCAATTCTAAGCTTCTGTTACAACTGCAGCCTCCTCAACAGCTATGAATGCCATGCATCATAACTGGCATGCTTGTTATGCGACAGCTAGGACTTCTGAGCCCAGGTCCCTATATCTGTTGTTAATTGGACTTTTCTTTTAATTTTTGCTGTTTTGTAATGAAATAAAGTGGAGGAACATTGTTTATCTCGCCTCCTTTATTTTCGTATAATCCAAATCAAACCCCAGACCACAAAGCAGCCCTAGAATAATCTGTAATTTTATCTCCTAACATTTTAAACCTAAGCAAAATTAATGGACAAGCACTATGTTATCGTTCACATAAAATTGCAACCCTTACGCCTTTGATACCAATGACTGTGTAAAGAATTGAAAGAATTCGCATTGAGCAAAGTACAACGCCATGTAGATACTCCCCGGAATATGTAAATGTTCATGTACATGTGAAATTTGTAAAAATTACCTGCTCTACATAGCTGAGTATAAGACTTTCTATCAAAGCCAGGATAGTGGCATCTGCTTTCTTATATGATGGTGCCATCATAGATAATGCTTCCTGGACTGCTAGACGACTGTCAGATTCTTCCTAAAATACAACAATACGTATGTATATTATTTTAGATGTTTAGTGTGGCCTAATCCTTTCACATTCAAGGGTGACCAGCAGCTAATTTCTCCTTACTGCTGCATCATGATAATAAAAGAAATGTTCACCAACAAAAGGAGCAATTAACTGTTAAATTCTCCTTGTCAGTGCTACAGGAAATGTAAAGAGAACAGTATGGAGAATATGCATACTGATGTTAGGGTGTAAAGGTTAGGTGACCCATGAACAATGTTAAACTTCCACATAACATCGATGACATGTATGTCATAATAAATGAACCAAAAGATATCACAATAATCCTAACAGGAAGATAAAACAAAAAGGTTCACCTTACAACCAAAAAAACATTAGGAAGTTTTTCTAGATGAGGTTGTAGTCTAAAGCAAGTTCCCCTCCCCAAGCATGCAATATCTAAGGTTCTTTGATAGTTTATTCAACTCATTCATGCCCCTTTTCAAAGAGAGGTGGCTGGGCAAGTTTTTTCAAATGCTAAATAAACCAGTTTTTTTTACCCAAACTGTCTCCTTCAGGGATGCAGAACTAAGCATTCACAACAATGTGGCACATCTTCCACCAAATCCACACACTTCTTTATTTCACATTTAAATTTGTTTTATTTGCAATTATACACAATATTACTTTATAAAATAATTCAAATAGTATGCGCGCTCTGATTGGCCATAAAACCATTTTACATGAGCGTATGTAAACACGGTTTTCGTTCCTCTTTCACTAGTTATTTTACAAAAGAAATGTAAAATGGTTTCCGTGTTTACATAGCCTGATGTAAACACGCGGGAGGTTGGGAGAACACGAGATAAGTGTAGGAAACCACGACGCGAAGCGGAGTGGTTTCCAGCTTATCTCATGTTCTCCCAACCTCCCAAGTGTTTACATCAGGCTATGTAAACACAGAAACCATTTTACATTTCTTCAACAATTTACAACAACTGATAGAGAAAACAAAAACAAAAAGATTAACCCTTAACAGCCTAACATCAGGATGCATATTCTCCATACTGTTCTCTATACATTTCTTAAGGTTCTGAAAAGGAGAATTTGTTTCACAGTCAAGAGTTCTTAGTTGTTGATCATTTCCCGCATTCTCATGACTTAATGTTTGATTCAGGGGTGATATTGTAAGGAGAAATTAGATGCCAGTCACTCTCAGGGTTAAAGGGTTAATGACAAGGAAATCCAATAACAACCATCAAGGGTGGTAAGCTTAAGTTCCTTATATAGATAACAGATATAATCCATAGTTAATTGTAGAATTAGTAGTTATTGATAATAGTTGTTATAAGTTTTTTTTCCTAGAGGATGTAACATGAAGAGTCAGTGATCTTGGTAATCCCATAAATTCACAGAAGATTTCACCTGCATAATGTTACTAGGTTACAGCAAACCAACCTGACAAAGGGCTTGGAACAGCCTTTGAATAAGTGCCACATCTTTGCAAAACAGTTGAGGAAGGCGCCTGAGATTATGATAACAAAGTTTCATGTAGCTATGAGCAACAGAATACATGTTTACCCTTCAAGCACCACTTCTATTGTACAAAATGTCTCAAAGTAATGCATCAATCAACATACCCACTCCCCTTGCCCCCTGGCATTTAACCTTGAGATTGGTATGTTCAAATTCCCATCCTCGTATGGAAAAAATTGTGTTCAAATGCCCCATCCAACTTTTTTGTAAAAGGCAAATTTTGTACACATTGACCAAGCTTATGGACCTTCTTCTTCCAAGCCATTTCCTCACAAAATTAAACTGTTTACCTAAAGCATCTCCATATTTAAAAACATAACACCTGTATTTTGCTAGAAAGACTTGACATTCTGGGTTCAAATTCTCTACCCCAGCCAGGCATGGCTCAAATTTCCCCCACCCCCACTTCAAATTGATCAGTAGATAATTCCAATTTTGATCAAAATAATTAAGATAAGTACAAACTACTGTAAATAATATCACACTTACTTTGCTAGCTTTCCAATAGCAGTATATGCCAATCGTTTCAGATTTGGATCCTGCAAAATGAGTGACTATTATTATTCCTGCTGTTTTAAAACTATTATCCTTCACATGACAACTATGCATTAATTCTGCTCATGCCCATGCTTCATTCTCAATCCTTTTCAAACACAATTTCTGTTTTTATATCTGTTTTTGTTTTTGTTTTTGTTTTTTTTTTTCACCTTAAAATGTAAATGAAATCCACATAGATCAAGGAGAAATCTGACTGAATTTACAAGCTTGCTTGATTCCTATACAAACCTGTTTATCTTCATTGATCAATTTTGTCATTCCACCAAGAAGAACAGGTCCCATCATGTTCATAACTTTCTCAGAACTCCACAAACAGATGTGGTGGACAAATTGAACAGCATACACCCTCAGCTTGCTGTTGAGCTCCTTGCCAAAGAGACTGTCAAATATAATCTATCATAATGACCAAGGAAATGGTGAATTAGTTGATGAATTGATTAAGACACAGAATTTCAGAGAAGTTTACAAAAGAATTGAAACAAATATTTGGCGTTCAGCTTATCATCCAAAGATCTTCTTGTATCATTGAACTCAATACTCAGAACAGATCTAAGATATCGTCACATGACATGGAACAATCTACCAACACCTGTTCAGATCTCTAAGTTATTTGACATGCCTGATAACATGTATCAATTGTCACTTAAGGCCACTTTGTCATGTGAAATTTTCATGAGAATGCTAAGTATCTAATCATTTTGTACCCACTGCCATTTTGTACCCAGCCATTTGTACTCAAACTCAGACAATTCATACCCAGTTTTTGTCCATATCAAACCTAATGGTTTTTGTATGGGGACAAAAAAAACCTTATTTGTATAAGTACCAAACAACTAATAAAATTGACTGGGCATGAATGGTCCTAGCTGGGCATGAATCAACTGAGTACAGAAGGAGTGGTAACCAAATGCCATGACCTATGTAAAATAATTCAAGATATGTACCTGTAGACAGGCTGGAAATTGATCAGCAGCCCTTCTGGACCTCAGAAGGTAAGGATAAATCCTTTGCTTCAGTCTAATACCTGCTGGTGATCTCTTCTGATCTGGCGGGATTTGTGCTGCCTGTAGAGCAAAAAGGCAAACAGATAGTTAAGGAAAGGGATACTTCAAGTAATCTCACCTTGATCTCAACGACCTCCACATCACAAGCAAAGTTCATTTAAGGACAAAAGTGCTCCAGAAATCATGCATTACCAGCAGTTGATTAGAACAATGTAAAATGAAAAGGCACAGAAGTTATTCAAGATCCAAAACAGCAATCAGATCTTTTGGAAAATGTCTTCAAAATAAATCTGACAGTGGATGCAAACTGTTGGGGTTCAATATTGCTGAGGCTAACTATTGAGACCCCAGAAGACTAGGCTTGTGATTTTTGTCACCACTCCCCCAAGTCAGATGTTTTCATATCATGAGTTTATGACATGCTTTCCAGTTACATGTACATTGGAAAAAAAAAACCTTTAGGCAGATTGAATCTCAGCAAACTTGCAGTTCACTGAGAGATGAACCACCATTGAGAATCTTACCAACATGGTCACAAACTTCAGCTCAATATAATAACCGTTATACATGTAAACCTTGTAAATTAAAATTAATGAAAAAAAGAGAGAAGTTGAAGAGGCAACTCTTGACGACAAGTATATTCTGTTCCCCAACATTTTGAGTTACAATCTGGAAAAATATTCTGTGCCACCATGTTCAGAAATCAGTTACTAATGCAGAACTGTAATCAAGTTGAAAGTGACTGTGTTTGCAGCCAAATTTCTAGGACATTAGAAGACAATTTCACAAGGTTACGTTTTGGTTGGAAGCTGAGAAAAGTGGAAGTGGTAAATTGGTGTTTACTTTCAAATCAAAGAGACAAATAAGGTGGTTTCTGGGAACTACTCCCCTTTAAAGTAAGTGGCCACAACACCTTTCAAACTTGGAGAAAAACATTTCAAATCTCAACAAGAAGAGGATTGTCATGAAAATGACTTGCACTGGCGCTTAAGGAATTAAACAGCATCAAGCCAACTAAAACTGATGTTAAAATATACTGTGCTTGTGGATTGCTATGTGGGCCAGTTTAATTAACTTTTCTTAGAAATCAGAGTTTATTTTTATACAGCTCTACCCAAAGGAGTACCTGGTTTGTAGTTCCAGCAACAGGTGTAGTTCCTTGAAAGATACCAAGCATCTTATTTACAACCATTGGATTCTCAAAGTCTGTTGAGCTGCAAAATAGTTCCCAAATAGCAAAGACAGTTATAATACATTATTCACCAGCCTCAAGGTTCATATTGGGAAAAACTGTGCTAAGGTCTTGGATACTGCCTGAGGTCATACGCCAAGGGTGCCACTCAAAACAAAGGACACAGTTTTCCCATTATTGACCAAAATTTAGGCAGGTGAATAACATTTTTTTCCTAGTGAAAAGAGAACCAAAGTAATTAAGAGCTGTAATTATGGCAAGACCCTATAAAAACAGAACAAGTTTTTTAGCAAGTAGGTAGTATAGAAAACCAACTGAGGGTTATGCAAATTAAAAGTAAGAGACTTCACTGAAACATTATTTCATTTGAGTTAAAAATGATAAAATAATGTGATTTGAAAGGCTTTCAAGCGAACTTTGAAACTTGAGGTATGTTTTCCTCTTCAGGATAATAAAATGCCCTTGTGCATTGATAGTCTTTGTACTCTAAATCCATAACTGTGAGTCACATGTTACAATATTTACATCATTACACGTATTTGATGAAACAATTGAAAAGTGCCAATTGCCAAGATTAGTGCAGTCTGTATCTGGGGTTCGGATGGAAAAATCAAGACCGCTGAAGCCCACAGAATTAGCCAATCAGATTTGAGGAGTTAGGACTACCAGACTGCTCAGATGCTAGAGAAAAAATTAACAGAATTACTTATAGTTTAAGATTTAGGAAGAGAAGTGCTCACCTTGATATTCTCTTTAGTTCATGATCCCCAACATCCAGAACACTAAAATCAAATTTACAGAAAAATATCATTGAAATCTGACATCAATCAAAGAAAACTAGCTTTCACTGTTTTTTCGAAGAACTGGGTAGTTTTCAATAACTATATCACAGAAAAAATCCATGTACAAAGGTTAGAGAGGAGCTTACTGCCAATGAAACAGATTGACATGCATACCATACCTGTGTCTTGTGTCTCCCGTAGCAACCAGAAAATGACAAATGATTTCACTGGGTTCAAACAAATCCTGTGCTAAGAATTTCAGAATTCCAAGTTTAATCTAAAAAAAAATTAAAAAAAGAGTGAAACCAAGGTGTCAGTGAACCAGCTTTCTGTATGTACTAGGATGTCCCTTCATTGGGAGTTTCACATGTGAGCTAAAGGAAACTCTGACTTAACTACAGTACCACTCAGATATATGTTAACTGTGCAGATGAATTTCATTTGCTCAGATGCAGGATAGTCAGACATGCGTATACAATTTTTTTCTGCACATGGATGAAAAAAATGCACAACTTATATGCCTTTGTTACTCTGAGTGCTACAACTTTCCTTGTGTTACATTGTGGTGTAAAGCAAAGAACTTTTGGATTTGAAAAAGTGACCAATCGACAACAGAAAATTTACACAATTAAAAGAGCTATCATGTTACCCTCATACATGCTGCATTGCCTCACAAAGTTTTCAACTAAGGAGCAGTAGCCAAAGATTTGCTTGATTTGAGTCGTTGATGAATCAGAAGGAAAAGGAAAATGTCACTTATACAAGGAGGGCATTGAAACACATGCATCATCAAGCAAATAAAGAAGCAAATACACACTGATACGCTTCCCAATTTATTCATTGTAATCAGAATTGTTTGGCAAAAATGTTGAAAGAATGATTAAGTTCTTAAGAGCCAACCCATGTTTCACCCTTTGACCCCTAAGAGTGATGAGCATCTTATTTCTCCTTACTTTATATATATCACAGGGCTCGAACTTAACTTTTTTGTCTACTAGCAAAGTTTTGCTAGTAAGATTTTTTTTACTAGCAAAAGAAGGAACCTAACTAGCAACTTTTCAATGCAGCCATTTTCAGCGTTAATTTTTTAATCGAAATTCTACTGGAAAAATACCGGTACTCGCAAATGTTTGCGAGAGGATTTTTTTTTGCAACTTTGAAAAACCACTCGCATTTCGCGAGTTTGCGAGTGCTAATTTTGAGCCCTGTATCCGCCCCAAATCACACATATAATGTAAAGGTTATGAGAATAAAGGAAGTGATCACAAACTTAAGAAGCTCATTATTGTTAAACAAATGCATAGAGAACAGTATGGAGAATATGCATACTATAATAATAGGGTGTGAAGGGTCAAAAGGAATGCAAAAGTTAGTTATTAAAAATGTATCAAAATCCTTGATGTGCAAGGCTAGTATGGAAAGTGGCTTAAAAGTGAGTATTCCTATGTCAATGGATGAAAGAAATCATTTCTCACATGTCTGAGGATTAATATACCTGTTCTAGTTTGTTTGGCTCTAAAGGGATATCACCAGTAACTCGTTTCACAGCTGCTAAACTCAATCCAGGTGGAGCCTCAGAGGAAGGTGTAGCAGGGGTGATATTGGAAGATTGGTCTGATTCTTCAGCAGCAGCATTTGATTCTGAAGACTGAGAGGATGCAGACCCTATGGTGACCACACGTGGCTTGCGCTTTGTTGTGCTACAAACAAGGTTACAAACATTGCTTGAGACTGATTCTAAGAACAGCATTTAAGAAGCAAAAGAATCCTTAAATCATTGATTATGTTTGATTGAATAACCATTTAGAAAAGGCTCCCCTCTTGTTGACTGAAATTTGAAATAACAATCTCTCCTAAAATGACTGCCCCTTTGCCTGTTTTCAAACCAGAGTGATGATGTGTGCCAAAACCATTATGCACTGAGCAATAAGAAGCTTCAACATCCACCCCCTAAGTAACCCCTTGAGCATTTGAACTTTTGAAGATTGGTTCATTCAAATAATCCCCCCCTCCTTGCCCATGGTGAAAATTGGGTTCAAATTCCCTATTAATTCAAGCACAATTTTTTCCTTAAACAATTCTTTGTGGGATCAACGAATTCTGTAGAATTTAAGCAAATTAAGTTTTTTGCCCTGCTGTTGAGTTCTTTGCTTGTAAGCATCATTCTCTGATGTGAAAATTTGCTTATGAAAGTGAACTCCTTTTCTTGAAAATCCTCCATGTTTAAAATTAAATCACAAGAAAGTATTCCATAGGTTCAAATTCCCCACCCCACCCAGGCAATGTTCAAACTTCCCACACCTGGGGCATGGATGACAATCAAATGCCCATGGATCACCAAGGGGGGGGGGGAAATGAGGGGGACAGGGGAGGGATATAGAGACTGCAGAATCAGATTTAATTTGCACATGCATGGTGGCCAACAATTGAAACTTTAAGATCACTTCTGTTAAGTGCTACACAAGCCACATGTACATTGTTCTTTATGATCAGCTGTTACATCACAAATAATGATATCACAAATAATGGTCATAGCTGGCTAAAATAAGAGAAAATTTGAAAACAGCCTCTACAATTATAAGAACTTAACAACACAAGACTTCCATCTAAATAGAAAGGGACAAAAACTCTCACACCTGTATGGCATCAACAGAACATCAAGAAGAAAATCCTTTAAGATCTGAGACACCACTGACTTCTCTGTAAATTGAAACATCTTTTGTCTTCCCTCTATGGAATCTGGAACTTTTAAATGACCTAAGACTGGTAAAACCAGCTGCAGGAGGCTAAATTTAAAAAATATATGCCAAGCTAGACTTGCTTTCCATTTGTCTCTGGCTCTCACTTTTAGCTGTCTATAAATGGCAAGCTACCAACATCTATACAGTATTAAAAAGTAGTCAAAGCGACTATGAATAGATAATTTAACATTTCCAACCCAAAGAGTGACCAGCATCTAATTTCCCCTAACAGTAATGCTACAGCATCATTAATTAAGATAATGAGAATAAAGGAAATGATCACTAAAGTAAGAGGCTTTGACTGTTAAACAAATTATTCTTGCTAGTACCAAGGAAATTTATAGAGAAGAGAATGGAGAATATGGATCAAACTCAGTCTGGTGTTAGGGAGAAAAGGGTTATAAGACTGAACCATTGCTTCATCACTACATGTAGTAAGAGAGAACTGTAACTGTTTGACATTTTAAACCAAAATATGTTAATCACTCACCAATCTTGCTGAGGTTGCGGTTTATCTTGAATACACTTCATCAGCTGTGGAGCCAATTCTGCTTGTTTTGCAAGAGTGAGTCGTGGAAAACCCATTCTTAGATATATCATGTCGAAATTCTTAAAACAAAAAAGATAGGAAAAGAAAGAAAATCTAAGGTTTTGCACAGGTAGCAATTCAATTTAATTTTTTTTTTTTTACTTATTCCATCTTATTTTTTTCTCAGTTCATGAGCAGGTGGTATTCTACAAATCCTGCAATCTGATTGGTTCCGAGAGTGGGAAGTATTCTTCCCATCTGGCCTGCTCACAGCGGGCAGTATCCGGAAAAATATTTCGAAGTTTTTTTGGGAGCCTTTTTAAATCACCTTTTTTTTATATTCATTTGCATTGCCCTTGTTTTCTCTACCATCTACTCACTTATAAATTGTTCCATTTATGGAGAATCTTGCCGTAATAACAGCCCTTTATCATTCAGGTTCTTTTCGCAACCATTTGTTAGGTTTTAGAAAAAAATAAAAATGTTATTCATCAACCAAGGTTGGTCCGTATGAGGTCTGAGGTCTTGGATACAAGACAGAGGGCACAGTTTTTCCCAAAAACCTCCCGCCTGGTGAATAACATACATTTACTGAAATTATGCTTTTGGATGATTCAAATTATCATACACAAAAAAAACTTCATAAGAGCTTAAACAGGGCTCGAACTTAACTTTTTTGTCTACTAGCAAAGTTTTGCTAGTAAGATTTTTTTTTACTAGCAAAAGAAGGAACCTAGTTTGCTAGAGGATATTTTTTAGACTCGCAACTTCGAAAAACCACTCACATTTCACGAGTTTGTGAGTGCTAATTTCAAGCCCTGTTAAACACATCTGGAAGTTACAAATATAAAGTATTACTTACAATAACAAAGGCTGGTACTGTTTTATCCTGAAATCAATAAGGACAATTAAATTGAAGTAAAACTTTTCAGCACAAGTAACTACCATAAAACCAGAAGTGTTAATGATCATTAATGTACTGTGTATTAACTGTTGAACTAAAAAACCAATCATGTACCCAACAGAGTTTCACAAAAGAACTGATTAAGTTTCATAAAGAAAACTATGAAGAATTAAAGCAAAAACAAAACATTTAAAAAAGACAAAATTTTGCTCACACAAAGACTTTGGCAATAAGTGAGTCAGATTGTACATTAAGACTTAGATTGTTAACCAAGAACATTTCATTGATAAGACAGTCAAAGTTGTTCTTGGATTTCTTTAAGACCATAGAATTCTTGGAAAGATTCTTTGGAGCCAAGCCATGCTTTTCACAGAACTGTTTTCTAATCAAGGAGGTGTTCTTGTATTCCTCAACATGTTAATGTAAGTACCAACATGTAGAAGCTGTGTGATGTAGGTTACATTGGTTTCAGCACCCGGTAATAACACTTTTTAAGAAATTTCTGCCATTGGATTAGCTCATGCATGATAGCCTTTGGAAACAAAATGAAAGTAAATGTGTATGTAACTCACTTGATATTGCGACAGCAGTGAATCTACAGGGAGCTGGATTTGTGGTCGGCTCTTCAAACGCTTGTTGAGATGAGTCAATATGGTCATTACCTGCAGAGTGAAACATTACAAATTCCTCACATTATTCTCCTCCTAACCCCTCACTAACTCATATTTGTTGATAAGGAGTTAATTAAAAGAGTTGTTGCCGATTTATTAGGGACTCATAATTCCTTTGTGATGTTTGTAAAAGAATCATTTCAATATGAATGTCTGCTGTTGTTATTAATTAAGAATATTGTTCCTGGTTTGATTTAAAGGATAAGGCAGATCTTTGAGGGTAAAATTTTTTTTATTTTCTTCATTTTTTATTTATTTATATACATAATTTTTTTCATGTCAAACTAAGCATAACCATTCCATTTTTTTTTTCTTTTTCCAGTAGTTCATGTTTTCAGTGTTCATTACAACTTCATATTGATTTAAGTGTGTCATTGAGAAATGGGTGCTACTGCTGGATTTTGTGCATAGAAGGCTTGATTTATTCCTTTGGGTATTCACTTCAGAGTGGGGGGGGGGGCATGTAGAACCGCCAGAAGCGTTCATTCTGGAAATGGTGAGATCTTTTAGAGGAAGACTCAAGGGAATGAAATAATAGCACAATTAAGCAACTTCCAGCGGCAGCGTCTATAAGTAGATGTATATCCTTTTTGTTTTGACTTGTCAATGAACTCCAAAGAATGATTGAAAACATTTTATCCCTTCAAGTTTTTTCCCTCAATGTTCTCAAGTTTCATTTGTATTTATTAAAACAGAGCATTTTCAGAGCTTTAAAAAGAGACCTTGAATGAGTATATTTGATTATTGTAAGCCAAATTTGTATTTTACTTCCTGTTATTGGTGTTTTAATTTATGCACACCCATCTTTTGCCAGCGTGTGTGAAGCATGTTTGCAAGTCATGTATTCATAAACATTCAAATAAGTACACGCTAGATCACAATCGAAATTTACAAGAGTCCGATCTAAGAAAATATGTAGCTTTGAGTCTGACAGCTCCTAACACCTGTCTACAAATCTGAAATTCATTAGAAGTCTTTGAAAGCATTTGATGGAGGAAGTGTTTGTGGGATGGGTGTGCTTGCGAGCTGTTTTTGTCAATGAACTCCAAACTTCTGTTGTTTACATTTAAGCTATTGTTTCCAGTTGAAAAAGAAAAGAGAAATTCTTCAGTAAATAAACTTGAATCATTTGGAAAGAAAACCAATTGAAGAATTCTGTTTTAGAACACTCGTCCAACAGAATATGATATAGAGAGCATGTGGAAGAAATGGACAGGACTTTTAACGTAGTTCACGGAAAACACAAATGATAAATTTCACCTATTTTTCTTCTTATCCAATAGATCCAACAGAGAAATACACAAATATCTTCTAATTACAATAAATGCATATATTTTCACATTACTGCCCTTAAAGATGAAAGGCAGACGACAAAGTTCAGTTCTTGCCATTTGCCGCTCACATATACTTATGTCTTATTATAGAGGTTAAACGCCTTTCTGTGGTTAAGAAATTAAAAGCAAAATTTTCGGAATGGAAGCTATAGTTGGTTTTGGATGATAAACAAAAGAAAATTGTCACACGTCATCAAAGGGCGTTCCGATTTCTATAGCAGTCTTACATTTACGAGCGAAATCTGACGAGAACCCCACTGATTCAGAAATGAACCTGAACAACAGCATAAATCTATGACTACTTCACGATCCAAGAAACGTGGGTACATACTTAAATCGACGTGAAGTTGTTATGTGACATAACTTGACATGTGGTCGCTCAAAGGCGTAAATTTTTGGGAAAACTTTGGAAGCAATAATAGCCTTCTTCTTTTTTACGCAAATGTGCCTTCTTTGAACAAATTAATAGGGTATGTAAACTTTACGGATTGCCTTGAAATGTGGTCCAAAGACTCACAAGATACCATATACCGTGTGGGGTAATTCCGTTTTTAAAAATGGATGCAAAAACATTGCTTAAAATTAATATAACTGATAATTTATAGCCCTTCTTTTAATTATAGAGACACTTTTAAAAATGATAAGTTAAAAAATGTACCTTCCTGGCGTGAGCATATGCATTAATAAAGCTAAGTTAAAATTATAGTAATGTGGAACTTTCAGTTTTGAGGTTTCAGCGTTTTCAAATTAAGAAGATAGAACGAGGAAGTTATCATTAAATGTAACAGAATTACTTCTTTCTCACTTACACACCTTATTCTTGACTTCTTGATGGGGACTAGAAACCTTTAGAAGAAGCGGGCACAAAAACGTTTTCACTGTCTTCTCCAGCTGGTCATCGGATTCGGCCGAAGCAACACGTAGAAATACTCTTTCGAGAAGTTCTTACAAAATGAGGACAATTCAATTCATTTCAATATTGCTCTAAGTTAATAAAACCGCTAGAAGAAGAGGAAAACAGACGATGTAAACTTACCAAGCTCATCTTTGCCGCTTGCTGGGGTCGCCATCTTGGATTATTTCAGAAGCTGACGATGAGGTTAACGCTGACTCACAGTGATTGCGTGAAGAACTTCATCCGGGTTTTCCAAAGTGTGAAGGCAGGTTCAAAGCAGATTACTTCAAATAACTTATCTTACAGCCGACAAACAACTTTTTGCTTCAGTCAATTTCTTTTGAGTACTTCTTTTGTTCTGTAAATGCAAAATACAGATATAGAGGGGGCGAAAATACATTGTTTGTGAGAGTTCTTAAAGGTAACGCAACAATAACGTTGACAGTCACGGTCACGAAATCGTCATGTGATTATTTCAAAACATCACCGTAATCAAGTGAAAATCAGTGTGTAGTTGTACATTTGGACGCTTTGCAAATCTTCTTAAGATCCTCTTCGTTGATTTAAAGCTTGACCTCCTCCTGTAAAGAAAACGTGACAATTAATTGTTATTATGACCTCTCCAACCAGAGAAATTTCCCGGAAATCGTCTGTTGCGCGTTCGTACCCAAGTGAACTGGGCACTGTTCTGGAGGAACAAGCGGATGACGAAACGGACCAAACTTCTGCGATAAATCGTTCGATTAATGAGCAGCAGGCCCAAAACGACACTTCCTCTAGTTTTGACGGGAGCGAAGCCATGGCAAGCTTGCAATCGAGTCCAAGTCAACGAGAAATCATGAAGACGAAGATCAAATATCACTACATGAATCCTATTCAGAAATTTCGGGCCAGACGGAGAAAGCCATGGAAGTTGGTCGTTCAGATCGTGAAAGTATTTCTTGTTACCATCCAGGTAAGATTCAGTGGGTGAAATTATTGTACAGGGCAAACTTTCTACGTTTTTATCCATAAATATAAGTGGCTAGCCTCATTATTGGGAAACGAGTGGAGGACGGGCCTTGACATTGCCAGTTTCTACAACACTGCAAGTGTCAAGTGAATCATAACAGTGAAGAAATATGTCCAAAAATTATCGCCCGTTACCCGCTTTCAGCCGAAGAACAAAATGAAAATACAAAGAAGAGTCGTTGGTACGCGTTGTTGCATTATTTGACAGAGATATTTTAAAAGCCTGTTTTACTGATACAATCTATACTGTGAACGCGAAGTGAAGTAAAATATTTTGTTGTCTTATCGTGAATCTCGGACAGAGAAAAAGCTGAATGCCTGTGTGGAATTGAATTTCTGATCCTCAGATTTCGCGGCTAACTGTAATTTGCGAAACGAAACGAAACGAAATAAAAATCTGTAATTTGCGAAATGGAAGTATGCTAGTGATTCGCAAAGTAGAAATTTCTATTGTGCAAATCATAGGCATAATTCTATTTCGCAAATTACGGATTTCTGTTTTGCAAATCATTAGCATATTTTCATTTAGCAAAATCTGGAATTTTATTCCGAGACTCAAGAAAATAAAAGAGCTCGAGTCAGTTACATTTTCCCAGCAAACATGATATTTCATCTAGAAACACGCTGCGACACTTTCCATGTGCATTTACGGTTAAGTAAGTGTCGTGTCACGCATTCGAATCATTCATCGACAACGCACATTGATTGCACCTTATAGACAGTAAAGCTACAGCGTCAAATAACATTTCAAATTACTTTTGCACTCTGTGGCCTAAACGACGCATTTGAGTTATTCACGAACGTAGTGGAGATTTCGCAAAGTTCATCACGTAGATTTTGCAAATCATTAGCATATTCCATTTCGCAAATTACAGATTTTCGTTTCGTTTCGTTTCGTTTGGCAAATTACAGTGATCCGCTTTCGCAACATAAAGCCCCACCACTGAGTTGTATAGTACCCCACGACGAAGTAGGCCATTATTTGTGAGTAAAAGTGTTAGTTTCTAAGGAAGCTGTGATTCTGCATCACTGGGGGTATTACAAGAATTGCTAATTTTAGATTCCCTTGTGATTCCAAAAAAAACATAAATTAAAAGTGAAACCTCTTTCTTTCTATGGTAAATTTTCAAGTTTGAATGATGGAGGAAAATGAAATTTTTATTTTGAAAATAAAGAAAATTCATTTGTGGAAGCATGCAACCAAAAAAGTAACAAATTGAATGATAAAATGAATTATTCTCAAGAAATGTCCACAATACTCATAAACATATTCAAACTGATAGAGCAATCCTTTAACCTGTTTATTTTGAGGTGATCTTTAGGCAGTATTGATAGGTATTACAGGTGGCGAATTTCACAGTTTTCCACCAGATGTAAGTTTGATTAAGATTTGTTTGTGCATAATACATGGACTTTGCATATTTGATTACAGATATGTTTATTTGGACTGGATCGTTTTTCTTTGGTTACATTCCTGGAGCATAACCACGTTGCTTTGCGACACCTGTTTCTAAAAGACTATCAGGGAAAACAGCAAGATGTTATTGTGTACACAAGGAAAGAACTTTATGATTATCTTCACTATGCTCATGAACAGGTATACATTTTGTAACATCAGTTAAACATAAGTACTTTTCTAATAAAAATCTTTGGTACTGTGTTAGGTGGTATTACAAGAGAATTTGGTTTTACCAACTAAGTTGATTAATTAAAATTGGCTACTGCAGAGAGTTTCTATTAAGCTGATGTTTCAAGCCTCAGCCCATCAGCCTTCACTCTGGCAAAGGGCTAAGGATTGAAATGTCAGCTTTAGAAACTCTTTGTGGCTGCCAATTTGCATAGAAAATTTTTCTGAATTTTTCATTGAGAGATGGGCAAAGGCTGCATAGTCACCCAAAGGGAGAGGGTGTTAACCCTTAAATTTCCAAGATCTCATAAGTAATTCTCCTTATTGTTTGCCAAATGATTCTCATTATGTTAGTTTGGAGAATTTGTTATCGGATTAATTAGTAATCCCATAATTGATATTTTTCTTTATTCTCATCACTTGTCTGCATGATATTGTATAGATGTAGTAAAGAGAAATTCTGCCTTGGACACTCATGGAAGTTAAAGGGTTAAGGATGCCAAATGATTCTACTGTATATATGTACTCCTAGGGTGGTTGGGTGAGGGTGTTCAAGATTCCAAATCATTTTCTTGTATACCCCTATGGTGAAGCAAGACACTGTAGGAGACTGTTGTGTTATGTGTCAACTAATTCAAAGTTTCAACATCCCCCCTGGTAACCCCTGGGCAACCCCACAGGCATTTAAACTTTTGTAAATTGGTGCCCAAGGGGCATAATTCATGGTCAAATGCCTAACCCATTTTTTTCTTCGTAAAAGGCAAGATCAGCAGCAGTGACTCTCTACACATTGACCAAGCTTTAAAAGTTTGACCCTGTAGACCTCTTCCTCTGAGACATTCACTCACTAAAGAGAAAGATTTACCTTAAGCACCTACATAATTTAAGATATAACACTTGTATTCCACTGGAGAGACTTGACACTTCCATCTCAAATTTCCCACCCCAATGAATTCATAGTCAAGAAGAACCAAATGCAATGATTATCAGGTCAAACTGTGGCATTTCGATCTGTGCCCAGTTGCTCAGAAGGTGGATAATACAAAAAATGGATAAATTGCTATCCAGCTGACAAGTGTGAGAAAAACATATTGCATTTTTCACTTGATAGGGCTTTATTTGGTAGATAGCGTTATCCAACCTTCAAACACCCAGGGCCTGATTAGTCAACCAAGCTAACCAGGCTACATTGAATAAGGGTGCCTTGTGTCCTACAGTAAGGCAGTGTAGCCCATGATTATTGATTATAAGATTGAAACATGTAGGTAAAGCAACAGCACTAATCTTGATTTACTTCAATCTTTTTTAGTTTTGTTTTGCTTTTTGTTTAATTTTCAGTATTATCAAATCACTACAGCCCCTCTTGGAACATATAACTACACACATATGAATGGCACTGAACCTCCAAAAGTACAACTATGTTACAGCTACTACAAAAATGGAGGAATTGAAAACAACACATATGTATTCAATCCCAACATAACAAATGGTGAGTCACTGATTCTGTACTGACGATCATGTAAATTGAGAATTTCTTTGGGAGTTAAAGCACTGTCTTGCAGATCAATATGACCACTTCATCCGAAACTGAGAGGTGTATTTTTTTGTACGTACATGTAACGCAATTGTTTGTATTGAGCATTACTATGTCAAAATTCTTGCCTTTTCAAACTCTGCTGATTGAACTTGCAATTAGTTTGTTTGTTGTTTGGAATAATGGTTGCCACAAAATTAACTCCCATGAGCAACCAATATAGAATTTCTCCTTACAATATCAATACAACATCAAGCAGGTAGGTGATGAGAATCAAGAAAACTATTAATTTGAGGATTATTAGTTGATCCAATACCAAATTCTCTGAACTAAGATCACAAGAACTATGTGGCAGACAGTAAGGAGAATTACTAATGATATCTGGGGAGCAGATAGAAGTTAGTCATTTAGAACTAAATAGTATGGTATTATATGACCTTTGTTTGTTTGGAATAATTAATGGCCGCCTAAATTCTATTATGTCAATTAAATTTCAACTTTCAGTCTTTATTTATTATGATGTCCTTTTCTTTGGTAGTGTGCTTTTATCTGGGACGTCCTATAAACCATGAGCACATTATTACAAACAAGTCCTTCAATCTGGGAAGGTAGGAAGCATTTTTATTACCAACATTTACTTTCAAACAGTAGCTGAGGGGCAAAAGATTGTTATGTAGAGATTACTGATACTATTAAATTAAAGCTAATAGCATATGAATACAGCAAGGAATCAAATTAAATTGGGATCAGTTTGTAGAGGGGCTGAGAATATGAATCCCCACTCTCCCTGCCAATTTTCTTTTATAGATATGTTAGATAAAAATAGATATTAGATAGTTAATCAAAATGTTTAAATTCCACAGCCTCCTAAGGCTGCATTGCATGGAATTTGCCAAGAGTTAAAGTTATATATACATGTATGAAATAACAATTTTATATTCAATGTAAAATGACTGTACAGAAAAAAAATACTTCATGAAAGTTTTACCAACTGGACATGGATGGAATACATGTGCTCATATAATGATTAATGCACATTTTTGGCAACATTAAATGGAGCTGGTTTCTAAAATTGTTTCTGCTAATGTCCTTGGGTGGTAGCAGATGTTGGAGTTTATGTGCAATATTACACTGTGGATACAACTGAGTCAAAAAGAGTATAACACTGTTCTTGGCGCCTGTCTTTCAAAGATCTGATGTTATGCAATGCTAGATTGTGATGTAATGAAAGGCCACGAGAAATTGCAAAAAGCGCAGGCCTCTGAACATACTCTAGGTCTTTCCTTAAGTGAGCAGGAAATGCATGGTGGAATAAGTGTGTGCAATACTCTAACACTAGCCTAATGTAGGTAAGACAGAAGCAGATCATATAATGAGCTGGAACATTTTCTTGCTTTAGGAAGATCAAGAAAATTATGCGCTTATTAGCCTTTTTGATTACCTCAGAGTTCAATTCCATCGAAGGGTATTAGATATGGTTACCTCAAATATTTTGGCTTGGGCAGGTGGGCAGATGGGCAGACCCTTTATATCTACCTGTATCCCAGATAAAGCAACCCCTTAAAGATAATCAGGAGACAACAGTAAGGTTTGATTCCTCATATGGACATGTCCCTTGCTCATGAGAAGGCAAAAACATCTTTCTCTATTTCTTTAGCGAGCTTAAAACATACAGTCTTTCTAATTCTATTTACAAAACATGACAATATCAAAATTGCTGATCCTAGCAGTATGCAAGACACATGTCATATTTGAACTTCATAATGAGCCTTGCTCAGCATAGAGTCTCTTTGGCTGACAGTGGTAGAGGATGGGAGCACAGAAACTGAAGGTCTGAGGTGTGTTCTTCATGGGGACTCAGAACTTTTTCTTTGTCCCAGTTGACAAGACAAAAAACATCTTTCTCAAAACAGTTATTTTAATTTTTAATTATAAGTACCAACTTCATGCAGGCCACTTAACAGCTTGTTGCTGTTCAAATAAGAACATCATATTGTTCAATTGAATTAGGTTACGTCACATCAGCTTGAAATTTTCCTTGAGGACAGTGAATTTGAAGAATGTCAAAGCCTGGGATAAGCCAGCCTGTTATCAACTGAGTGTAATGGTGAGTTGGAAACTGAATTTGAAGTAAAAGGGAAGGAATAATATGAAAAAAAACAGAACCTAAGAAAAAAAATTGACTTTACTTTGTTGTGCTTCCTATTTTGGACAGTGAATTAAGTGTGAACAAATCTTTTGAATTTCTCCAAGTCAGAGCAGTTATCTAATTTTAGTTTTGAATTCATCATTAGTTTTGCCAACTAGGGCCTTACTGCACTTGCAGACAAAACTAAAATTGTCCTGACAAATTCAAAGGACAAATTTTGTCTTGACAAATTTCTGTTTTATTTGTAGCATCAGCATTAAAAATTTCAAAGCTGACAAATTCTGTCAGTGCCTGATCTGTACATTAAAGACCAGCCAGCATAGTTTGCCAAAAAATTTCAACTCCAATTTCTAGGATTCATCTTAAGTCATTTTAAAGTTTTAGAATCCCCGATATTTATAACACAAGACAATTATTGCCTTTCTAGTAAAATCATTTCAGTTTTAATTATTAAATGTTGGTTGTAGCTTTTATGAGAAATGATTGACGGTTCATCTCGGTTTTTTTAGTAATTCAATTTTATCCATTTTTTACCCACCACAAATTTTATCAACATGTATTGCATTATTTTGAAGATTTGCCAACATTTGTCAAGTTGCAACAAACCATCAGCACTTGTAATATGGTGGTGATGACGAAAAATTTTTCTAAATAAACAACTTTTTTGCCAGTGCAGGGAGGTCCCCTGTCTTTAAAATTGAGTTAGTAGTGTATTGCATCTAATTAAGTTCACTGACACGTGTTAGTTAATTTGCTCAGGTCTTTTACATCAAATGATTAAATTCAAAAGAAGCTTACAGTAGCATTAGATTACCAGAACTCCATGGACACCGTATCCCTGGCTAACCACTGTTTAACCCTTAACACCCTAAAATCAGTATGGATATTCTCCATAGCACTCTTTATAGATTCCTAAACATGCTGACAAGGAGAATTTGTTTAACAATCAAGAGTTTCTCTAGTTGGTTCCCTAATGTTTGATTCAGGGTGATATTGTAAGGAGAGAAAAGCTGCATGTAGTAACCCTCGGGGTTTAAAGGGTTTTATAAAAAAAACGTTGATCATCTGCAACTTAAAACAAAAAAGTCTTCAGTATTAGTGCAGCCATACCACTTTCACTATAAATTATACATTCTGCTGGAATTTTCTGAATATGCTTGTATATTGGACAAAAAAACGGCATTACATAGCAATCATGAATTATGATTGATACCTGACTTAGTTTTGTGACTTCTAAAGACTGACTGACAGAAGGAATTGTTATTGTCATTTTTAGATTACATTTGATAATGTGAAGTATGATGGAAGAATGCCAGTTGACCTTGATATGAACAACACTTGGTTGCGGTGCCAGCATGGAAAAATTAAGGGCCAGAACCTCTTAAGTAAGTTTCACCTTAAAAAAAAAAAACTTTAGTTGTCAAATGAAGTGACATGATTTTCTCATGCTGTTCTACTTATTGAAGGTAAGAAAGAAAAGGTGGGACAGGTTCATAAGATTGTCCTGTGGTAAAAAATAATGATATTACTTGTACATTAACATGTAATTGGAGGCAGATCCAGGATTTTTCTTAGGAAGGGGTAACTTGTAATGAATGATGAAGCTGACAGGTGATGCAAACAAGTTATTTTTGCCACAATTGGCAGTTATGTTGCAATCTGATTGACCAATTTGCTGTTGTTAATAAGGGTACAGACAACCCTGCTTGCATCAACATGTCACAATCTTGGTCATGCACTGAGTTGTGGTAAAAAACAAATCCACAGTGGTTAGTGTGGTCTGTACCTGCACTCTTTGTAACAATGATATTCCTCATCACAGTGGTCAAAATTTGTTGAATTTGTTCTCATGAATCCGTAACATTTTGACTACTGTGGTGACAAATATCCCTGTCAGTAGGAGAACAGACCATGCTAAACCACTTTCGATTTGTTAAATTTATAAGTTTTCAATACTTTACTTTTTCAGGAACCCACTTCATCACTGTTACCTTGGTGATGTTTGATGTCATTGTTATCTCCTTCTGCGCTCTGTCTCTTATGCTATGCACAAGATCAATTTACAAATCTCTTAAGTTGGCCAAGGTTATATATACACTTTACCACTATTATACTGATCAAATCATATTGAGTCAATGGAACACACAGAGCGTGTACATGTATAAGAAAGTGTATTTCTTTTTCAAGAGAGCAAGATCTGAAGAAAGATATTGTTAATTCTTGCATAAAGATACATACTGTGGGTGACAAGGAGAGTACATGTGGATATAGAGAGAGTGGGATAGAGACAGGAAGGAGGATGGTCATATATTTTTACTGGTATGCAAGGTTGGTAGGGAGTGGAGAAGGTGATGAAAATGAGAGGAAAGTGAGGTAGTGAAATGGGAAGAAAAAGAGAGGAGGTTGGGAATGAGTGAGCAACAAAGGGTTGAGGTAGCAAACAGGGAGGAGCATGGTAAATTGGAAAGAGTCAATAAAGGAAGAAGAGACAGGGAGGAAGGGGAAATGAAAGTAATTAGATGAGATAGGGAGGACAGGAGGGAAGGTAACTGAGGAAGGGGGGCTGGGAAGAGGTGAAGAGGACTTGAAAATAGGAAAGAGAGCGTTGGATGGGCAATAGAGTTGAGTGAACAGAAGGGAAAGGAAATGGAGAGAGAGTGGTAAGTGTTGACAATTTAGGTAAGTATGGAGGAAGAGGACAACTCAGAGTTGAGGTTGGAACTGGGAGATTCAGAAGGGAACAGACACAAGGTTGCATAGAAGGGAAAAGGTGAAAAGGATGAAGAGTTGTTGATAAATTAGACAGGTAGGCAAGGGGTGATGGAGAGTTGAGGGTGGAGAGGAGAGAGTAGGGAGAAGGATAGGAAAGACAGTGAGATGTGTTAGGGGGTGAGGTGTTAGGGTTGGTAGACACTCTAAGGAGGAAGCTAAGGAGGGTAAAATTTTTGAAAATTCAAAAAGTGATAGAAAAGTCACACCAAGGAAAGTGAGCTATGGAGCTGTTTCACTTTTTTTATGCTATCAACACTACACTCTAAGCTAACTCCTCATTAGGGTTAGAAAACTGATCAATATTAAACCTTAGTGAGTGTGCATGTAATTGCCCACAACACTTTGCTTTTCCTGTGTCGCACATAAAAATTAATCCATAACTTTGCATCCATCAGCATTTTTAATGCTTTTCTATTTATTTTTTTTTTTTATGACGGAAGGAGGCTGCCAGCTTTTTCAAGAGTGATCTTCATCAAGACTTCACCTTCTCTGATTACCAGGAGTTTGTTAGTCTATGGTTTATTGTTATCATGTCTAGCGATGTCCTCACAATTGTTGGCTCAGTATACAAAATGGCCATTGATCAAAAGGTGATCTCAGATCAAAATGCTATCTCTCCTTTTAGAGTTTCCTTTACTCACATCCAGAGAGTTGAGAAGAATAGAAACATGAATCACAACCGAATACTTCTCAAAGGCAGTAATTTACTGCAAAGCTTTTTCTGATAGGAATCTTCTTGATTTCTTCTGCTAACCTGCAAGCAGGCCTCATTATTAGTGCTTCAGCTTGTACAATATGAGCAGGCAAGAGGTCTGCAAAGGGTCTGGGACTGATAATGAGTGGTGATTAGTACCAGACCCCAGACAATTCTCTTCCTGATTTGTCTCAAAACCTCTCGTTGGCAGAGAAATGTGCATCATGCAATGCTAATGTGTGTCATGTGTTGTTATTGACTCTTAGCCTGCATGTTGGACACAAGCCAGAAAAAATATGGGTTGAACACATTAAGTCAAAATTTTTTCGGCACACCTTGCCACATAAAGCATACATACATGTACTACATGTCAAATGGGTCAACAACTGAAAAGATAAGTTTGTTGGTTCAGAATATTTTCTGAGAATTTTGCCTATTCACTTGTCTTCTGAGTGCCTGACTTACTGTTGTATTTCTGGTCATACCCAGACTCATGGAACAGGGGCCAGTTTATGTCATTAGTAAACTTTGAGATAAGAAATTCTTGGAAGTGCTATTGAGAAAACTCGACTTATGTTTCCTTTTCAAGAGGTACACTTATTTTAAAATGGGAATGTTCTGACTGTCTTTCAGGATAGTGATTTCTATAATGTCAGCAGTATATTTCTGGGAACGGCAGTTCTTTTGGTCTGGATTGGTCTTCTTCGATTCCTTGGCTACTCAAAGAAATACAACGTAATGTGCTTAAATTTTTTAACTCCCTACGATAAAAATAATGATAGTACAGGTTTTTGACTGCTGCAATGTCAAAATTGTTCTTTATATTTCTGTCACAATTTTAATTCTGAACTTCTACATCCTTTTGGCTTAATGTCCTAATATGATGTTAATACTGATTAAAAAAAAATAATCATAATAATAATGAAGATAGTGGCAATATGAAAATAAAGAACATTAAAAAAAGTGATAATGGAATTGGCAACAACCTTAGATTTTTTTAGCTCACTTGGTAGAGCACTGCACCTGTGTTGCAGAGTTCACAGGTTCAACTCCTGTACAGGCCTGAATTTTTCACAGGCTTGATTTTTACTATTGCTAAAATAAGTAGTATTCATTACTGTGAAGATCACTCTTATCTTCATTTTTAATATGCAGTTGAAATATATTGTATTCATGTATTTGCAGTCATTCTTGAGTATTTTGGCTCAGAATTGAGCGTTCTGTTTAATTAGTTGACAAAATAATGCCACATTTCTCTGCTCAGGATAATAATTTCTGGGGATATTTCTGCAGATTCTTTTAGAGACTCTGAAGGCGGCGACTCCAAGTATGGCCAGATTCTTCATATGTGTGATTCTGATATTTGCTGGTTTCATGTTTTGCGGCTGGATTGCCTTTGGTCCTTTCCATCCTAAGGTAAACTTCAAGGACGAATTTTAGCCATTTTATCTTGCATTCGTTCACTTGCCCTCTTATTTGACAAAGACCCTCACAGCCTATTATTTTTAACACTTGATGCAATTGTAGTATTATTTTGGTATTTGGTAATGCTTTGTTATGGTATAGTTAAGTTGACGTGATTCTTTGCGGTCCATTTTTTCTTTCTTTACTCTGTATTTCAGTATTAAATCGAACACAAGATTATTTTCAGTTCTTCGGCAAACAAACCTTAATTAAAACTCTGACTCCTGATAGAAAAGTCTGAGTTAAAAATCTGGTCAGCCAGCAAGAAGGCATTCTTTATCAGCACTAGCCTTGTACCTTCCATAATTAATTTTGGTAGAGCGAGTAGTAAGAATTCGATATTTCTTAACAAAAATTATGGCCGCCATCTTTGATTTTAATAGCACCGAGGGGGCGGTCGACAGTCAAAAATAAGGAGAGGGTGGAGGTGGGGCGGAGGAAGATTTCTTTTTGCCCTTGCCCCACCCCCTACCCCACCGTCCATTCGAACTCCAAGTCAAACACGGCCCGTAGGATAAACGATCGCTAGCTTATAACGTTAGCTCGCACTTAAAAGACACCTGCAGTGCAGGCTATATCAGCGCTGCACGAGTGTTTCTTTGCCTGCAGAAAGTATGAGCCTTTGCGCGAACCAAGCTGGCGAGAGGTGTGAAAGAGTGTAGCACATCTTCAACCGAACGTCAGTATGCGCATTCTCCATCCTGTTATTTATACATTTCTTAAGGTAATGAAACGGAGAATATGTGGAACAATCAAGAGGTTCTTTAGTGGGTGATCATTTCCTTTAATGTGTGATTCAAGAATGAAATTGTAAGGAGAAATTAGAAACTCCTGAGGTAAAGGGTTAAGGCTCCAAGATTTAACTTTTCATGCCTTCATGTTTCATTCCAGTTTAAATCGCTCGTCATAACTGCAGAGTGTTTATATTCAATGATCAATGGAGATGATCTTTATAATACTTATGCGGAGATATCAAGATCCACTAGCCCTTTCAGTGTGTGGATATTCAGCAAGATCTACATCTACACCTTCATCACGCTCTTCATTTATGTGGTATTGAGTTTATTCATTGGTATCATTGGGGATACATATGAGAGACTAAAGGTATGTAGAATTCGAACTTTTGCTCTTCCTTCACGCTGTTGAAATGTTACATCTGGCAAGATCAAACGTGTTGTATTTATTCTCTATCTTTGGTTTTCACAAGGTAGATTCGAGAATATTTTTAAGCAGAGACATTAAATGATCCTTTGGTGGACTGCAATTCAAACAATCGCCAAAAAGAAGCCGAAAAAGGGGCTTCGACAGGATTCGAACCCAGGCCTCCCAGATACTAGTTGGACGCGACTACCAACTGAGCAAGAAATCCACACGTTAGGAGCGAGGCATATTTTAGAGGGTTATTATTTTCTGTAAAGGAATCTGATCACACTTTATTTAATGAAATAAATTTTATTTGACCTGCGGATGAAAATTGAACCAAAGAAATGATCATCCCAGAAGGACTACAATTTAAGCAATCGCAGTAACAAATTGATTTCATTCAAAATTTGGAAACATTTTTGTTGCATGCGTCAGGATATGGGGCATCTGCCAGAAACGAAGATCCAAAAGTTTCTACATGAACCAGTCAACGTTGGCAGATCAGTTCATAGTGGCCAAGATTACACAACAGATACGACGCCTACAACAGAAGCCATGGCCGCTCCCCCGCAAAGGGAAAGAACGAGTCGTTATGGGTAAGAGCCGATTGTGCATTGCATTGGTTTGGTTTTCTTAGATCAATTAGCTTAGATAAATTTTCAATATACCAGTTTGTCAAATTATGTAGTGATATCGTGTGGAGAAGTTATGTAAAGTCCACTTGCCAACGTCTTCTTTATCTTTTGATTTCTCTTTAACAATCCAGGAGCACTTGTTCAACCAGTGCAGTGGATGCTTTCATAAGGAATTTCTCCCTAGATTCAACGGGAGTCGAGTGAATAATTCAACTAGTCCTGCAACGAAATATCGTCAACTTAAAAACTTACTGCGTCGAGCGCAGAGCAAAAAGAGACTGTAGAAGCTGTGGAAGAGAAAATGTCTTCGCACTCCTGATCAATGCAGATACATTTTTACTATGTGAAAGTTGCTAAACTGGAACGTTGCAAATGGAAAACAATACCAAAGTTTAAATTTTGAAATTTCAGCCTGGAACGTTAAACCTCAGCATAATTCTCTGAGGAACTCTCTTTAGAGTTTTGCATCTAATCAGTGAATCCCTAAGCTTTTTAAACTTCAAGTAGCAAATTGATGGTTATTTTGAGAAGCTGCTGGGTTCAACTGGGTGACAATATTTTACATTAACAGATTTAATTAATTAGATTTTATATCAGTAAATGTAATGAAGCTCGAAAAAGGGCCGAAACTCGTAAGCTTCTGGAGGAAGATTTATCTCAAAAGCAAGGGTAATTTTGATGTTAAATGTTATCATTGAACAACTTATCGTGAATATTTTGTGCATATTTCTGCGCAACACACCTATGTAAAATATTAATTTCGTCTTTGTAATTTTATAGACAATAAAATTAACAAAAACTATATTTAAGTGAAAGATGAAGCTTGTTACAACTTTTATTAAGAAATGAATAAAAGTATTTCAGAACTTGCATTGCGTAGTATGATAACTCTTTTTCCCTATTTAGCTAGGGCTGTAATGTATGTCTGATGTTCCCGTTTGTTTCGCGCAATTTGCTCAGTATGCGGCTAAATTCTTCCCTACCAGGTTCAATCCTCTTTTTCTCATAATAACAGATGGTTCGGAGAGGAAAAGATTTGCCGCCAGTTACTACTGTGACAATCTTTGTTCGTGGCCACACTAAGTGATACGAACTGTACAATACATTACAAACAAACAAATAGTCAAGACGGGCAACCTGTTTGAAGCACCTCGAAGTGCATGCCGGACTAGGCGAAAAAAAAAAGTGAAGTACACGTAATACTTGATGCTGTAATTGGTTTTGCGTCTGGTTGTTTCAGAAAATGGATTGAGATTTCTGGACCAATCCCAAGTGTGGTGAAATTAAACCATTGTAATCCCACACTTAGACACCCATTTGATTATTTCGTACCTTATTTGTCTTTTTTTCTTTCTAGATTTCATAAATTGATAACACTGGACCTCTTCCAAGGGCGACTGGGCGAGTATTCAAGCCTTGCCCCTGTCCAATTGCAAATATCACGAAATTTCTCATTGTGTTACTGTTGTCGATTTTGTTCCTTAGGCCATAACAACATAAAAATGATGGCTTTTTTTACGTTTAAACAAACATGGGAGATGAAAAAATGGACGGACAATGAACAAGGAAGGTATTCGATTGAGAGGCGAACGGGTCTTTGTGACAAACTTGAAAAATCTGGCTATCTTTCTATCCATCCCAGTCTCGTGTAAGTCCTTCAACAAAATTTAGCATTTATGTCTTCGTGATCTCCAGCGCCGTAGATGAATTGAATAAACAATTACCGTTTGTTTTCCGTATTGCGTGTATACCGTTAATTAAAAACCTGTCTGGAAAAGCGCCAACTGGTACGATTTAAATAAAACATAATCCGTTGTAGAGATTATCCAAAAATCATATCAAATGATTTGGCAGATTTCAATTTTGTCCGACGGTGTTTGCATTAACAGTTGGAAACATTATTGTAAACAACTAAATTTATCCGACTGATTTTGAGAGAGAGGGGATCCTTTTTTCTGTGTTAAACTGACCTAGCAACATCCAGTGACAGGGCCTTAAAAGGTATTCAAATTTGCAAGTTCTCTTGAACAAGAGAACTCGTCAAAAAAATTTTTTTAGCTAGTCATCAATACCTTGGTGTTGATGTAACCTTCCCGATCACCTTCACCTATAAACCTCCTTTTAGCCCACTAACGTGTAAGGCTAAGCAGATTTCCCTTAAATCCTTCAACTACAGTTTCCGATAAAGTATAACCTACTCCAAAAAGTTTTCTACCAGGAGTGGGAGAGAGCAATTATCTGAGGGATAGGGGTGGAGGGAAGAGGGTGGAGCCTCACCTTTCTGTTAATTCCATGAGATGTCAATATTCATAAGCTTAGACTTGCACATGCATGAATTTCTACAGTTATGAAGGCACGTCTTCCCCCAGCCCCCCTCCCCCTCCACCGCGCAGTCCATCTCACACGCATACAAGTCGGAGTTTTGTTTATCGTAAGCTAGGGAGTGATTTCCTCCGTATGTTTCCGTGAGATGAGGTCAAGGCTATATGAGATTATCTACGGCTACTTAAAGTTCAATTTATGAAGGATTAGGATAATCATCCTCGGAAACAATAACAAATAACCAAAAACCTACGCAGAGAAACATAGAGGTTTCCTTTGCGATGAGTAATGGCAAAAGAAAACAGATTTGAACTCATCGCTTCATCGAGGGAAATTGATTTAGAGGTAGACATCAAACCTACAAATGTTTTGCTCACATAGAAGAGTTGCGTATCTTCATGGTAATATAATGACAAATAAGCGCTTTTCCTTCCATGTTCAAAACCTAATATGAACATTTTATAAGTCAAATTTGACACGCTATGGCTCAGCCGAAACGTGTTCAGTCTCGTTCAATTTATTTGTTTGACGTCTGTAACCGAGAAAAAGTCCTAAAAACTGGAGAGACGTCCATCCATACCTGGAGTCAAATAAGATGGGTTAACCATCGCAGAAATTGCGACATAAAACAAAACATCTCCGACTCGCCCGTCCCGCCCAACTAACTAGCTTTAATCTTCATACGGGGTTCGTTACTTGCGGAGAGCATTGCTTATGTAAATAGTAAACAAGTCAGAGATCCACACTGTAAGTTTTAAGATTGCGATTTTAATTCATTGCTCTATAAAATGACACCTCGATCAAAGACCCATTGCAAAACCCAAGTCAGCGAGCGAGCGTATGCGACGACTTCCAGGCAAGTTACGTGTAATTAAAATGATTGCAAACTACAAGAATGTTTGTTTTTCGAAGGAAGACAAACATAAGTAGGAAATCCTACAAGACTCTCGAAAAAGACAGAAATCCTTCAAAATAGATCTCATCTTATGGAACAATATACTGCTCTACTATCGGAAACTTCTTATCTCTCGAGAACTGCAGAATCAATAAAAAGATAGCATTTCTCACCATTAATGATTTAACTCCTTCACTCCTTAAAATTAACACGACAAACCAAAATATATTTATCTTTAAAAATGCAGATCAAAGGTAATTTCATAGGAAGAACACATTTCAAAAGAATTACAACATCACATAAAAGTAGTGAATGGTTTTCGTTTCAAAGCCAACACAACTGATTTTGCGGCAAGAGATTCCAAAACCTTAAACCATCGCTTTGTCAAGGAGAGAAGGAGTTAAAATTTGGACGAAAGCAAACACAAAAATCATTATAGAAAAAATATTACTCTTAAAAGCCAGCTTTTTATAATAATCAATTTTATGCAAACAAAATATATCCTTTAGTACAAATGAATTAAACAAAACTGTATTTCGGCAAAATGGCGGCCAAAGAAGGCGGTATACAAGCGAAAAATTCAAAGTGATGACTTCATCCAAAGTGCAAAATGATCTGAACAACCATTTCAAAAGTATTTTGATTGCACACCAAATCAAAGGAAAATAATTGGGGGCGTTTCTCCATCTTTAGAAAAATTCAACTTTAGTAACTTGTACTCAAGGAAAAATACCTAATAGCTTAGCCTAACTACGAAAAAGTTTGGCCCAAACTTTTGCCGCCATCTTGCGCGAGAAATTCACAGCAATTGCGTATAACGAAGAAATTGGTAGCATTACAAAATGGATGAAAGAAAAAAGGCAATCAAAACCGGTAGTGCCATTAACGTTCGGAAATGCGTCATTTTATAGCTTTCGCGTTAATAGAAACACATAAGATCCTTCTAGGAATCAGACATTTGTAAAACCAAATGTGATTTGTCTTCCAAAAAGAAGACATTTAGATATAAATTAATAGAGCTTTGATCACTAAATGTGATTGATTTTTTCACGCGTGGCGTGTATTCGAGTTTTTGAGAGATCGCTCTGTAAAACCAAAGCCTCCCTAAATATATTTTTTTTTCAATAGGATTTTTCCAAAATAAATCAGTATCAAAGTTACAAGCGAAGCTTCCTTCCCATAACGATGCGCTAGCGTAAAAATTACTCTCCTGAGGTTCGTTCACGCAACCTCTGAAATGGAGAGGGCTAAATTTTTAACAGATATGTGAATTAAATTTCGTATTTAAACAACGTACATAAAATAGGATGAACAAAGCTTTGAAAACGGCACTATAACCTGAATTAACATCTACCAAAAAAAAGCATGGCTGACCTTTCTATTACGAAAACCAAAAAGAAATAAATTAAAAGAAATTTGAAGTAAAGACACACTCTGATTCACTCATAGTTCAGCACCTGAGTAAATTAACGTAAAAAAACCTGAACATAACAAAAATCACATTTAACACATTTACTGAGAATGGTTTATCGAGCTCGCAAGTGTACGCACTTTAGCGGAGCTCTGCTTTTTCAGTTGTTCACATGGATGCAAGACTCGTTCTCTTGTACACGGCCCCTGGACTACTGGACGTCGACGGCTGTTCACCTTCGTCTTCAGATGTACTCAAAACCCTGAAAGAGGACAAAATGACTTTCAATTCCTTTACACACAAGCACATGCACGACCGGTTAAAAACATAAAATCGAAAACACAAAAACAACATGTATCGGAAAAAAGGATTCTTGTTGAGACAGATCTTTGTCACTTTACAGTAAGTCTCGCATAAGTGACAAATGATCTCATGTTAATAACATGTTGAGACGTAATTTGCGAGCAAGTTAAGGTAAACAGACTTTTCTGACTCACAATTTGACAACAAAGTAGTTGGAGCTAATTTTAACTTTGTGGGATGTCAACAAGTCACCTGCTGGAACGCGTGTTCATGTTTTGAAATCATGATGAGCTGACTAAGGAACCACTTCACCTTACAGCAGAAGATACAATTAAAAGCTATTGTTTCCGATCTGAGGTCAACAGCCTACACAGGGAAGGGCTAAAGTACAGCTGAAAAACTGCCAGCAACTTGTCGCGATACACTCTTCCCCTATTGTACAGCGAAATTTAAAACTTCATTCGCGGTCGGACAATAGAGTTCTGCCCACAGAGGAAATCAAAAACTTAGCATTGCGAAATACTTTAGGGAAAGTCCCTTTTTGGAAAGAAAGAAACCGTGATTGAACACCAACGCATTTTAAAAGTAAAAGTACTTTTTCGCTGTAGTTGGTTTCCCGGGGAATCTTGGACGATCTAATTACAAACATTCTTTGTTCCACTTAAAAAGGTCTCATGAAGCCTAAAAATGGGTGTATGTTTTTTTTTTTAAAGTTTCCCAAAGACCTTGACAGACTGTATGAAGAGACATAAACCAATTTTTCAAACGTTTTCCCTTTCTTTCACTTAATCCGGTCAAATTTACACATTGTAATGGTGAACGAGGCGAGGAATGGGAAAATCTCTCTCAATACTGCCACGACGACAACAACCAAACAATTTTTAATAAGAAATAAAAAGTTGTCTCACTAAGACCTAAAATAGCAGTTGCAAGACTTTCCCTTACAATAAAACCCCCCAAACCGGAGCTTTATGGGATTAGCAAGCTGCTGACGCAGCAAAAGTTTTGTCTGTTACCCTCTTGTGCTCGACAACTTTCTGAATTCGACGATTTGGCTCATAATTCACCAGCTTTTTGCGAACCTTTATCTTGCATGTCACTAACGAGCTTACAGAAGTTCAAAACTTGGCTCGCTAATAATTTCTCTACAACTTAGCACACCATTCGACTGCGAAGTAGCGAGGACAGAAATTAGCCTAACCCTAACCCAAAGCAATTTCTCATTTTTGTTCCTCATTGTAAAAGTTGGTGACGAATACGAACCATCTTTTTTACTTCATTGCACCCAAATCACTCCTTATGTTCTGTTGCGTGTAATAAAAACAGCGAGAAGAAAAAACTGCTCTTGAAACGCTGTAAACACACTGATAGCACACAGTTCAAAATGTCGAAACGATAAAGCGTAAACATGGCCAAGGCTTCTAAAACCAAATAAAATTTATTGCTCAGAAATCGACCGATAAAGAAAAAAAGTTAAAACATGCTACAGAGAAGTCTATCAAAAGGAACAAGTTTATTTTCCGTCGCTTTACTGTACGTTCACTCTCAAAAACTATCACAAATTTTCCTATAAACTTTACTCAACAACAGCCTGCCCTTTCAATGACCTAGGACAAAGAATTTGCTTCGCGACATACAATGAATTTTTAAGTTCTATTTGCTATTTCGTCGCAAGGAGGACCAATATCCGGTGATGAAAATTTGTATGATGAACATTTCAGAGAATTCCTAAAAGGATCTCCGATTACTTACATTGAGTGATCTGGGCTCTGAATATTCCAACTTTCAAACTTCTCTTCCAGCTTCTCCTTCATGTCCAGCAGAATCTCGTAGACATGATAATTTTTTGTCTGCAAAGAGAAATAAAAGCATTGAAGAAACCATTACGACAAGAGAAAGCAAAAACTTGACCACGAAGCACTACTATGCAAATTACACCAGTTCAGGTATGTTTGTCAAACTAGCCTTTAGGTTTTTCTTTGCATTTACTACTTATACAACGAGGATATGTGGAGATGGTAGTCAGGGCTGTGATTACTATGTAACTTCTCTCTATAATATCAATATATTATCCAACAAACAGCTATGAGAATACTCAAACTTATCAGATAAAAGTTACTATCTTGATCTTACGCCAAAATTTTCGCATCTAATTCACAACGAAATGTGTAGCAGCCACAGGGGAGAATTAACAATCAGATCTTGGGGGGTTAAATAAATTTACCAGAGATATCACTTCAAAAACAACTGAGAACAAAGTGGATAGATCATACTTATTTTCATAATTTTGGTGGTGTCTCTTAAAATTTTTCTGGCAACCATGACTAGCACATCTTGCTAAAGTGTCTAAACATTTGAGCTCATCATTTCAGTTATGGCTATATACTAAGGCATCTCAATTTTCAAGCAGGGATCTAAGACATCTACTATAAGATCAACATTTACTTCCTGCAAGGATAAAATGACTATTATTTGAGAGTTCCACTTACGGTAACTGTGAACTCTTCTTCCTGAGATCTTGAGCTTGTTCTCCTTCTCTTTGACATAGGACCCTTTGACCCTGAAGCAATTCAAAATTTTCTGGTAAACATGTATGCAAAAATTGGTATATGAACAACTTATAAACAATACACAAAATTCAAAACTCTGGTGAACCAAATTATAAAACAAACAGAATATCTCTTTCACATTTGATATTCTGAGCTCTACTCTTAAGTCTGAAAAGTGACGTGTTCCTTACATTCAAGAAACCAGACTGTGAAAAGCTACAATCCTTTGCCTTGATCATTGACTGGTGCTTGGTAAAAAAGAAAGTTCATTAAAACTCACCTTTTCTTGGGCGTTTGGCTCCTTGTGATGAACTAGGCTCACCGCATGCAATCCTTTCATCAGATTTTCTGTCCCTCCCTGGACAAGCACACACTCTAATTTCCACTACACGTCGGCCAAGAGTCTGTCCGTCCCTCTCGAGTGTGAAGATAACTTCAACTGGCCTTCTGCTTGGCCCTGATGCACAGCTCGAGAAGCACATAAATGCAAACATCTCGGTAACATACTCTGTACCAACTGAAACATAAAATGAGTGTGCTATCAGGTAAAGCTCAGATTTAGAGACCAAACTTATAGTATATGAAGTGAATATGTTATATCATCTGGATGATTTCATTGCCCTAACCAATGCTGCTTCCTTTCCAGGCTGCAATTCAAATTGTGACTACATGTGTAGTTCTTCATACTCTCTCTGTATCCATACAAACCTCAACATGCAGAGGCACTTTGAGGGAAAATGACTGCACCCAAACAGGATCACTGAGAGTAAACAATTTTGCATTTTAAAGGGAGAAGTTTTGTTCAAACATGCGTCCTTGCAACACAATTTTGCCCATAATTCAGGTAACAAATTAAGGGTAGCCTACATATGTACAGATATGACTGCAGCAAGAAAAGTAGTCATAAACATAGCATACACGTATATATGCAAGCAATACAGTTATAGCAGTTTGTCGCAAAAGACCTCCAAAATAACTCAGTCACCTCTCATGTCCCAACCTCACATTGTTTTGCAAAAAAAATTAACAGCAATAAATGAACTGTATGCTAGTATGATCTTCATCTTAACTAGTCTCACCTTGTGGGCCACCGTAAGGAATAATGACGGAGTGTCTTGATGACTCAGGACAAGTGTGGTATTGGGCGGCAGGATTGTTACTCCGCATGAAATGGGCATTTGGAGCAGAGCCTTTACATAGCAAAAAACCAAAAACAATTTATTTCATTTGAAAATATTCATTTGCTTTGAAAATCACAAAGAACCAAGAGAAAGTAGATTGAAGAGGTTCAGTTTTGAAAGAAACTGTGATGCTGCATTGGTGGAGGGTATTTTGAGATAATTTGTTTTTATTGAATTAGTTTATAAAAAAAATTGGACATCGTCAAAAGATGAAGCAACCAATACCAGAGTATTTTGATATACCCAAATGACCATGGTATGACCCATCATACCAAGGAATGCAAAAATTAATTGTTATTGTTTCGATTGATAACTGGAATATACTACCAAAAGGAAATCATACATTTGTCCTAACTTTGTTATCAACAATTACTTGTACATACATGAACTATGTTACTTGTTAAAACAGTGGTTAGTTAAACCTTAAACAGGTTCAAGCTAGAGAATAACAGATGGGTCTTAAGCTACATTTAATAAAGGAGATTTTTACCGTCATTGGAGTTCTCCATATGATTGGGGCACCTCTTCACAACATCATGCAAATTAGTGGAGCCCTTGAATACCGCAACAGCTCGCAAGTATGTCCCAGGCAATGGGGGACAAGATGTCTTAAACTTAATTGGACAGTAACTGTTTAGATTCACATATAACTTTTTGCAGACATCCGAGTAGGTCCATGTGGCAGACTTGGAGGCTGACTCAGTCAGAGGGCCAAAAGATAACTGGAAATTCAATTCTCCTGGGTATTCTGTAGTGCTGGGAATCTGCGGTAAGCGGGAAGGGTGCATGAAGGTGTGCACCATGTTGGGAGATGAAGTTGCTGGAGTACCAGGAGTGGAGGCGTCACTGTATGTGCTAGACTGTAGAGTAAAGTATCTCTGTTAACATCCTGCATTTGTAGCAATCATTTGATATACCCTTCACCCCCTAATATTAGTATCCAAATTCTACATACTCTTCTCTACACATTTCCTTTAGTACTGACAAGGAGAATTTGTTTAACAATCAAAGCTTCTTAGATTGGCAATCATTTCCTTTGTTCTCAAGATCTTAATGAATGATGGAGCAGTATTACTGTGGGAAGAAATCTGATGCTTGTCACTCTGAGGGATCAAAGGTTTCACAGATAATGGAGAGTCAAGCAGTTAAAGACAATTTTAGTCCTAAGTAAAATTACATGCGTACATCTACCACAATAATGTGGAAAATTTAAAACTTAAATACTTAGGAAAAAAAGCAATATCCCTGAATGACTGTTTATAAGAAAGTTTAAAGATCTAAGAGCTTACAAATGTAAATGTAACAATTTTGCAAACAAGTACATGCTGTGCTTATGATGCAATCTTGTGGGTTGTTCCCTTTGGAACTTCTCAGAACTGTTGCTCAAAAATACATGAGATGAAAAATAATCACAGTGACTGTAAAAGCACTTCAAACCAAGAATCCACTTACAGTCTCGTAATGTGCAGTATTGATTGGAGAAATAGAAGAAGAGCTCCTGTGCACTGACACAAGGCCAGGAGATTGCGGAATATTGTGTGGATAAGCTGGGGGATTGGGGCTGGTAGATGTCGGCAAATCCACTGGTGCCTGAGAACTTGGTATGTACTGTGGTGTAAATACAAAATTCAAACACAACATTTAAGTCATGAAACGTTACTTCCAGTTAAGTGCATGAATTAGTGAATGCTGGCTTCCAACACTGTGTCCAACAGTACCTGAAAACTACTAAAAATATAAAGATGGAGGTGGGATGTTGTGACATGTTGAGATGCTGTTCCCTTCTTGTAAAGGAGAAAGGGCTTTCCAAAAGTTTTACAATATGGAGTTATTTCTCAATCCCTTAAATAGATAAGTGTCCCATTTCCTAATCACAGCTATGGCAAGAAACAATAGAAATGAATTTAACTGTACAGCACACATTGTTATAGTTTAAATCTCTTCTCTGAGAAAAAAAAAATAGAGAAAAAGTTGAAACCTGGTGGACTCAAACTGAATTAATGTAATATCACAGACTTAATGTGGATTCGCGTCAACTGCCCAAAATCACAGTGTTAATTTGATATCATTTCCTTTGTTATGGCAAATACTATCAGTTCCACTTTTGCTTGACACAGTAAGCCACAATATCAAGATTCAAATTATGATATACATGTACAATTACAGCAACATTCTCCTCAAAACAATGGAAAGTTCACTTGGGCCAAACACAAACAAAAACAAGAAAAATTGGAGAAATCCTACATGTATCCTAGTGCCAACCCATGCAAGGGTAACACAACACTTGTGTGGAAAGACTACAGCTACAAAATGACAGAATAATTCCTCAGCTTACCGGGAATGGCTGGCCGTATGACCTCATATCACTCGGCAAAAAATTGTCTTGAGAATCTAAATTAAAAAAATAAAAAAAAAAGTAAACATTTTAGCAAAAAGACTGATATTTCTTTTAATTCCGTGAGGATGACCTGCAGTTGTTGGCTTCACCACAATTCTGAATTTTCATCAACGCAGCTCTAAATTTGATCCCAAGATAAAGAGTTGGATTTTATATTATGCAATATCTTACAGCTGGGAATGCAATATTTCACAAAATCTTTGTTTTCAGCTCAATTTTTCCTTTCCTAAGACTTGAAGGAAATTACTTGCAAACAATACACTACATGTAAAGATTAGCATCCAGAAACATCCGCAAAGGGGTCAAAGGTGCATGGCATTGTTTTCTTGTATATGCGCCATGTTATCTCAGATTACTGAATTATCCAATATCCTAAAAACAAAAATATAACTACTCCGGATATCCACTTACAGATTAGTCACTCACACAGCACACATTTGTTCAAATTCCCTTTACATCAGAACAAAACATAAAAACGTATTTCTCCACTTGATACAAAATCAAAGCTGCTTTGTACTCAGAAAATGTGGCAATTTACTACTGACATTACTAGAGATAATATTTTCATTTTGGTTTTATGCCAACTTTCAAAACAGATCACTGATATAGCTGATTGCAACATACTCAAACAAAGAAAACAAACAAGTCTTCAAATTTTGTATTTCTTACCTTCTCCTGTTTCCAGTGGAGACAGAAAACTGAAAACGAAAGTAAGAAAAGGTTAGTTGTGTTACACAACAACAACAAATGCCACTTTTACTCTAAGGACAATATAGATTCTAATTTGGCTCACTCTTAAATATTGATCCTTGTTAAAATTCATGTGTTTGAAAATCTGTTGTTAACCTTCAATCAGAAGTTCACCTGAAGACAAATTTACTAAGGACTATTGTTCAACAAAGGTGGCTAATAAACATGACTCAATGCTGTATTTGAGACTACTTTGTTGAAATGACTCGCGACTGCAGTTTCTTTGTTTACAGATTAAAAGTACATTACCGTATAGGAAATTGTAAATCAAACCTATAACTAACCAGAAATTTATCAACTACCACATTTAAATGATGTCGTGGAATACTGCAGGTATTAAGAAGCTTTGGATTGGGAAACCCTTCATGAAACTGGACCATGTTTTTAAATTAAGCTAGCTCACGAAAAACAAAGCACAAGCAAAGCTGTGAAAATGTAACAGAAATTTTCTATGGCTGCTATTAAGCTGCATAATATGATTGACTCTGCTACCTGTGGCATAAATCTTTGTCCCAGTGCATCATTTTTGGAAAGCCTGAATCCAGAGTACATGACATCTTTGCTTTGTATTACTACTGAACTGATCCAAAGTTTCAAATTCACTTTAACTAGTGAAACTGAATAATTCTCTAAGCTGACTAAGCTAAAAAGGTGCCGGCTTGCCATTATATTTGTGTCAGCGGAACTCATCACCTCTGCCAACTATTGTTATTGTGCCAAATTTAACTGAGAAATACAAAAGCCATTGTTTCTGCAACCACTGACATTATAGAAAAACAATAAGACACAATAGAAACCTGATATCTACCACTGTTGACCTAGGCAAATTTGACTTCTAACAACAAAGAAGTTAATCTGATGAATGTTGGAAGGCCTCAACACTATCTGACACTTTTCTTATCTCTTATGTAATACTACTGCTAAGTTAAACTCATCAGACAACAAAAGAAATTTAATCCACTTAGCAACAGGTGATCTTCAGGATTTTGGCAAGAAAACAAACTTTAAATTCTGTTCTAGCAGTAAACACCTTATTTAAGACTTTCTTGACTTAACTCTTTCATAACATGTCTTTCATGAGAGCATGTTTGAATAAATAACAACTCAATTGGCAACACACTTTTTTTTTTTAATACCTGACAATAGACAGCTATAAGGTAAGATAAGGACAAAAAAAAATTGTCATTAACCTTGGGCTATTTAATGAACTTCCTGACTTTCTAGAGGAAAACAACAACTTCCTGCATTTGACCACAATTTTTTTTGTACTGACAAAAAATTACACAACAAAGGAAAAAAAACAACTTCAATTTGTTTACCCTCAAAACAATTAAAGAGAAGGAAGAAATTCAGTCAAACAAAGATTGTAAAACCCTTCAAGTTACACCAACATATGATTTGTCACCCATTTGGTTGATAACTGGTAAAGATCTTTGATGCTTTCAATAAATGCCTCAAAACAAGTCATACATGTACAACATAATTCTTTAATAAACGACACTCTGCCACTAGATGTAGGAATTTGCACCAGTAGTACTTAAGAACATCACTAAAAAAAGTTGCTGATGTTGCATTTCGCTTGTGGTTTTGGGCAAGTCCACACTGGTTTGACAAGTATTGTTTGGTTGCAAAGGAAGTTTGTCAAAGTCATCACTAAATAAAGCCTTGTAAAACTGACAAGCTCCTTTCTCACAGCATAAGTGGCACATCAGTCAATCAACTGGATAACTAATGAGCTTACACAACAATACTAACAACTGCACTTGTCACTTTTTATAGCAGCAGAATTGGAAGTCAGGTTGAAGAGAGGGCTGGAATTATACCATAGCAAAACTGACTTTCACACTTGATATACCTTTACTCCCAGAAGTGATTAACAAGTAACTTCTCCCAATAATATCTATATATTATCCATGAAACAGGTGATGAGAATTCTTATACTTAATATTTTGATCTAAAACCAAATTCTTGTACCTAACTTACAAAGAAATATGTAGCAGCTAGAGAGAAATATTCACAATCAGATCTTGGGAGTCTGAGGGTTGAATTGAAATAAGAAGAGTCACACAGGATTGGCTATTAACTAACCCCAACCTCCTCTCAGAGGTGATGAAAAAGTAACTTCGCCTAAAAGTTTTTAATTTGAGTAGAGAAAAGTCCATCAGTAATAAAATTATATCTCAATATTAAACTGTGTAACACCATATTTCCTAGACTAATTTGCTAGGAAATCCATTCCACCAAAAGAGAGAATCATTGATCAGATATGAAAAGTGTAAGGGTCAATGGTATGATGCATTGCCAAATTGAACTTTGCAACCAAATTAGGAACACCTTTGTGACCACAGGTGTGGGACGAGAAAAAAAACTGTAATAAAAGTATATTGCAAAATATCATTTTGTAAATTAATATTAAGTTTTCAACAGATTAAACACTTTCCTCCTTGTTTCATTATGAAAATCAAAGTATAACCAAAATAGGTAATTTGGTGGGCTGTCACAAAGTCGAGTGTTATTTCTGATGGTGATATCATGTTGTTTTGCAACCACAAGGGCTAATGTCCAAAAGATGATTTCAATAAAATGTCAAATGCTGTTCAATTTAGAGAAAGAAAAAGAGGGCATTTAATCCCAATTCTTACTCTATGGCAACTTTTTTTGGCTGCAAAACTTAACAAGGGTGGGTTAGGGAATTTTCAAAGAACCTTACCAGAAAAATTAAATCCCCATGAACTCAATGCAGTTTTCCTGAAAATCTATGACAGTAGTTTTCAACAGTAAACACAAAGTGAGTGATGCAGTGCAATAGTGTTTTGTGATTGTTTATCATGTAGAATCTTTCCTCCAAACACATTTACCTTGTGACTAAGTTAACATACCACTTAATTATAATTTGAACATTAAGTTGGATGTGTTTCTAAAAGATGGAACAAATAATAATTCAAAGCATTTGCTACACAGTTGCTCTTCCTAGAGGTAATGAATCTAACCTGGGTTTTTCAGATTTGATCCTACGGTCCATCTTATAATTTACAGCAAGGAAGTCCCAATCGTTTTAATACTTTAAGTTCACCTTTCTGATGAAATAATTCGCTTGTGGATTTTAACTTGACGTGATCTATAGCACTCACAAGGTACATTCATAAGTTTGACCCGCGTGTGATATTCACGTGACAGAATACAGACAAAATTCAAAGAAAGCGTGACTTTCATTCGCACACGATACTCTACCGTGTCAACTTTGACAAGTTCATTAGCCAATATCTATAACAATCTTGTCGACATTGTATTCGTCGATTTAGAAAAAAAAGGGGGTAAAACGATCCGCTGAGTGAAAATATAAGTAGGGCATCAGCCCTGTATATGTTTTGCGTCAAGAAGACAGTTGCAAAGCATTATTGCAATGATATTGCATCAGGAAACGAAACGAAAACAACAGGGCGCGACTCCAAGTCAAGCCTGAGCAATAGATCCTGATCGGGACCAAAAATAGTAAACATCTAATACACTGATTGACTACGCAAATCCACTTCTAAGTATCTGTTAGTTGAAGAGATATTTCTCAATTGATGAGATACGACGAAAGAAAATAATAATAATGACAATAAAAATGTAGATACGCTTCAGTATGTGAATCGTTGATCGAAGTGAAGCGATAGACATGTGATAGTATACGTAATTCCCAAAAGTACATGGCTTCGCTTTGGCTCAAGTCACTCGATGAAGAGCTACGCAAAATTAACGTACTTACCATGAAGGATTCTCGTCCCCCCGAACATCATCGAGAAGGTGTTTATAATGTTTATCATGCAGAAGAGTGTTAATCGTCGGTTCAACATTATCCACCATTTTGTTTGGCACAGTGGAACGTGATGCAAGATCTCCACCAAGGCCTCTTTTCACGTAACCAAAATTAATCCCCGCTCTGAACAGAAATTTAAAAAAATGAAGAATATCGTCATATAGTCTTATATTCTCTTACGACGCTAGATGTTCATACACTTAAATCATGACGTTTACGTACTGTAATGAACATGAACTCGCGAAGGAACGACTCATCCCTTAACAAGCGACAGAAATCGATCGACGAAAAAAGAAATATCTAACCGAAGAACAACGATTAACCATTCAAAAATCGAAAACTGGAGAAACGCTTTGTAAGACCTGGATTATAGAAACGTGCCGTTCTAAATCAATTCATCAGTTATTCCTATCGGTTCAGATTTCCTGTTTGGCAAAGCACCAATGGTTCCGATAAGTCAAACGACCGGTGTAGACATATATTGATATTGTGTGCCACAACATGGATGAAAATCGACTTGGAGTAACTGCCATGGAAACACGAATCAGTATTCACCGATTAAAACGCTTGCAACTTGTGTAGTGATAACGAAAGTGTTGTAGGCTCAACAAGTAGAGCTTCCGATTAACGTAACATGACCCTGAGCACTCTTTCATTGAATAAAACCAAAACAATTCCTGATTGCGTCTCTTTCCGTTACTTGACGTGCGTTTTAGTCAAAACTACCCTTTCACTCGACTGATTTTCTATTTCCTGCAAGAGTCCTTCAGTTTGGATCGAACGTTGTAAAGAGGAAGTACACCGTTAAAAGCTTCAAAGGGAAGCGTGGAAGGACAAAGAGATTTACATCGCAGCGGCGCCACGGGATTGTTTACCTAGGTTAAAAGCTCAATAACTTCTCACAGCACTCCGACATGACGCCATTTAGTTACGATATCGACTTCAGCAAAATTATGGAGGGGAAACAAATCTGACTGTTATTTCAGCTGTGCATTTAAAACATAAAAGTCGTACCTTTTCTAATCCACTAAATCCCCGATCTCAAATCAAGACGGACACGCGGTAACTATGACGTCGTATAACATTTTGATGACATTGCATGAAATCGGAGCAGTCCGTTTCTGACCAATCAGTGGACACAAATTGTTTACTCGATGATTTCTTCGCCAATCAGATCATTCTATTCTCATAAAATAATACGTAGAGGTCGGGGATTCCCTGTTTATTTTTAATTCCGCTATATAAATGCAAGTGCAATCCTCGGAAGTTATAGGGTAATAAGCTTTTGCCCATAAAGTGAGGCTTTTTGAGAGGGAATGTCGGTTTTACTGTTGTCGTAAATCGTGAATCTCTCTTAGTCCTTTCCACTGAATACAGCCTTTGGGATTGGGCTGGAAAGCCGGGAAGGGGGAGGGGGGGAAGGGGACGGTTGACGAACGACGAAAATATGTTGTACGAGAAAAATATTGCATTGCCTAAGATAAAAGTACTTTCAAAACAGTTTGCGTAAATTCTAGATTTTCAACAATATTCCAGTCAAAACAATTACTGATGATAAGACGAGTCTGAGCTGTGAACTGTGATATAATTGTTGAGTCGAAGTTGAAATTGTATTATTCAACCACAACCATGGCACGCGAGTTACTCGATGACCTCTTTAGATAGATCTCATAAAACATGTCATCAAATGGCAAATTATTGACCGGAGGCGTGTTCAATATTGTAAACCACTTGGCAAAGAAGGTTAGAAATGTAATATGCCGGCAAACTTTCTTTTATTACTTTAATTATCTTTGCTATTGGTCATGGTCGAAAGCCACGACGCTAATTAAGGTAGAGCACGCGCAGTGCATTCAAATATCATTCGTTCTGGAACCAATTTGAAGAAACCTTATAATAAGTTGTGATCAGAAGACGAAACATACAAGATATCGTTAAATTAAACTCTGTAATTCACTGAATAAGAACAATCAAGCTTTTGTTGGATTTCACGCAGTACCAAATTTCAGACTTGCGCCTCGACACAAAGTGGGCCGCCACACATCACATAAAACTGAAATTCGAACAATACATGCTACAAAGACATTTAAAGTCACCTTTTCGAAAATAACTTAAGTAACTCGATGTGATTTGAAAAAGTACAATTAAAATTGTATATAGGAATTTCTTCTTCCACCATTTTCCCTAAGGTTTGAGTTAGGATGCTGTGCGCACAATGGATAAATTTCCCGCAACTTCGAAATAGGATTGCTTTTAAAGACCAAGCATACTACTTTTGACCGAATATGAAAGCATTTAATTTAGTAGAAATGAAATCAAGAAGTCTGAGATACCGATAAAATTATCTAGATTAAATCTCGAAGCAAACATTCTCTTGGTTTGAATACAACATCCAATATATTTTTTTGTTTACAGATCCATGAAATCAGTTCCAGATATGAAGTCGTGCAAAGCGATATTGATTACGTCTAAATATATCCTGTTGAAGAGCGCCATATTCAAGAGTGTATCACGTAATTAATTATATTGCCTTGCTATGCCAGAAAACGGCTAGTTTTTGATGTCATCCTCAAGTTACATCATAATCCTTATGTCAGAGTATTGAAAACGAAATGCCATTAATTAGACGCTCCCACACCCCTCTAGCTATCAATTTGACAGGGTGATTGGCTACACGTGAAGAGGATGTAAAACGTGAATTTTATGGCGCCGCGCAAAACTGCTTTTAATTACCAAGATCGAATGAGAAATTCTCCTTTCTAACTGCCATACAGTTTTTTGTAAATTTGACAAAAGAATTTGGTGCGATACCCAGACCTGTCTGTTCTCACGATGATATCCAAAGTCTTAGAGACAAAAAGAAAGCTACTGCTTTTTCACTTCATTGTGGGAATTTAACTGAGGGCAATTTATCTACAGCTGGTGTCGAAGAACGCGCCGTTAATTTCAAGTATTGCAATAATAACAAAAGTTCATTTGCCTCGCTACCAACGAGTGGATTCTTAGCAAAGTTGCTAGTAGCCATCAACTATCTAAGGGACATGGTTCGAATCTCGTCAGGTCTGAATTTTTCCAGGCTTCTTTACTGCAATTGCTACCATTGAAACTTGCGTGAGAGGATCATCATAGCTTAACTTGGGCATATACAGCTATTTCAATTTACGTTGTCGGATCAAAGCCTCAAGCCTACAAGACAAGACCGAAGGGGAATATGGGATCTTAATGAATAATTATCAGCAAAATTAACAATGCCTCGTCCATACAGCGAAGATCTCCGATGGCGAGCCATTTGGATGAAAGAAATGTTGGGGTTTCAAGTGGATGAGGTTGCAGCTGCTTTATGGATGTCACCGTACCCTTGAAGCTTTGATCCGACAACGTAAATTGAAATAGCTGTATACATATAAATAACTAAGTTGCTACCAAACTAAAAACGTTTTATGAAATGTATAATGGCGAAAGTCTCAGAGACAAAAAGAAAGCTCTGCTATTTCAGTTAATTGTGAGAATTTAGCTGACTGTAATTAATCCTCAGGTAATGACATGATTTCGAGCGCAACTTGGTGTTAATAAGCACGAATAAATTTTTATTTGTCCCATGCTCGTGACAAGACGATAAACATCTTTCTTTGTTTCTTTACCGAGCTCAAAACTTTCCATCTCTCTTATTCTATCTACAAACATGACGCTATCGACATTGCTGATCCCAGCAGTATGCAGGACGTGCGTAATATGAACTTCGTAATGGGCCGCCTCCACCGTGGAGTCTTTGTGGCTCAATGGTAGGGCATCGAAGCACGGAATCAGAGGGTTTGAGGCTCGATTCCTCATGAGGACTCAGAATTTTTGTTTTGCTCACGCTCGTGACAAGACCAAAAACATCTTTCTCTAGAATTTGTAGTCTTTGACAAATTTACTAGTGCTTATTACACCAAATTGCAGGAGAAATCATGTTATTACTTTGTAGTTTGCACTCATGTTACAACTTTGCACGCGGTTACGTGAGAATGCACTCGTTTTCAGCCAATCAGAAGCGCGTAATTTTTCATGTGCATTATTACTCCAGTCAGCGTTGAGAATCTCGCCTTCATTCTCAAATATTGACGATTTTCCTGATGTCATGTGCATGAGAAAAAGAAGATCCGCAAAATTACACAAATTGGCGGTTATTGGTAATAAATATTAGCGAAAGTTTTGATACTTAATAGAAATTGTCCTTTTCCAATCAAAAAAGATAACTGGCAATTGACAATTTACTTTTGGAACTTATTTTTACGGAAGCATTCTGCATGGAGATAAGTAAAAATTTACATATACATCGTACAAACTGCACTGGACGCCAAAAATAATTCTGTCTTTTCAGACATACTTCTCACTGAAGCTTCTGTTATTCTTATAGCGACGAGCGTCAGGAAAATTTTCAGTCGAGTATCGAGAGAACGATGACATTGTAATGTCTTTGCATTACTTCACTGTGTGATTTTTATAGAAAGCTTGAGTTGGTATCTTAACCAATAAAATACAAAACTGGAACAAAATGCAATTTGGCGACCGTTGTCACGTTTTCCCTCGCTTGAGGCAGTTCTATTCGATTTCTTATTGGCTCCTTATAATATTTTATTTTGTTGTGATTGGCTGTTGTGATCATTTTCATTTCAGTCTTGCTCTACTAAGGAAAATGTGCCCTATTTTGTTAAAACTGCTTCACCCCATGAATGATCTGTGAAAAATCTTGATCGATTGTGAAGAAAGGGAATCATGTCTACCAGATAGCCCATATAATTCAAGGGATTTATAAGAAAAGCCACAACGTATGCGAATCGATCCCTGTGCTCTAATGCGATGTAAATGTTGGTCTCTATAACATAGAAACGATTTTTTTTACTAGAAATTGAGCCATTCGCATACTGAATCCGCACAATACTTCATCCGAGACCAGGGCAACGCGTATGCAGGTGAGGGTAACAGTTGATAACTTAGTTTTAAGCTTTTGCATAGTTGTCTGCGCAAACAATCACTGAAACATGGCAAGCGATGAAGAGATTCTCTGAAGCTGATATAAAATCTCTTTCAGAGGAACAGAAGCGAAAATCATAAAAACCTTAAAATTTTTCAAGGCTCCTTTCATATGAAGAAAGAAGGTGAAAAACCAAATTAAACTAAATTTCACCCATAGGGCTTGTGTAAGAATTTGCAAAAAACTTTCTGCTTTCCCTTTTTTGGTTTAAATGATAAGAAAAAAAAGGAAGAAGTAATTTTTTTCTCCGTTCTAGAGAAGACAGCATTTTTCTCACTTGCTGCCTCTGATCGTGAAATATAGCTTTTAATGACTCGAAAATGATATCCGTGACTTCGCACCCCTGTTTCATCCTCTTTTTAACAACTAGAAAATGTCCATTGAGTCAAAAGTTCTTATTTGATCCGCAAAAGTTATATCCACTTATATACTTTTGTGGAGCTGATCGCTGAATTCCTGATTTTTTAAAATCAAAACCACAATTAATGTATTATCATCATTATTTACAGCACTGCGCAAAAGTGTTGCAAACGATCATCGTCGAATATTGCGCTTTTTTCTTCCGAAATATCGCCGCCGATATATGGCGCTTTTTATCGACACGTTAGAGCAATAAATCGGCGAGATTTTGGGGCTTTTTTTGCAATGTTTCGTTCTTGCGATACATCGCTCCATCGATATATTGTCCCAGCGAAATATCGTAGAGCGCGGGGTATATCATCACCACACCAAAATGTAAGCAGTAAAATAGCAAAACTCAAGTTAACTGAAGGATTAAGTTGTTGGAACTACTGATAGATCTACCTCTCTTTGGGTTTCTAGGAAATTGTACCTGAACTGATCTGGACAACTGATTGTCAAACTTCAATATACAATCGTCTGCCATGGAACCTTTTAATTCGGAGGCAACAAGAGGCGAGTGGTTCATTTAAGGTGATTGTTTGATCAAATACAAAATTGGAGCTTCAAACTCCAAAACTCAAATACTAGATTTGGGATTTAATAGAATTTGAACTGAAATTTACTATATAGAAA